TATATATTTTCATAATTTTACGAAATGCTATACTGATACATCAATGACATACCATGGATTAATAACAAAATAAAAACATATTTACCAATATTTCACTAAGCACAAAGCTGTATTACAATTTATAAATTTAAAATTAAATATTTGTTTTATGTATTTCATTTAAATTAAAATAAATGTATGGTTAAAAAATATTTTTATTCGTTTTACTTTAAGATTTAAAATTATAATATTAGTATCCTAATTAGTAGATTACGTCGAGGACCTAGAATTTGGCTATATAATTTTTGATAAACTTAATCAAAATATGTAAGTATAATTATTCTATTATGATAAAAGAATCATCTGGCTGAATGGCTGGTTAAAAAATATTGTTCATTTTTTATTATAGTCCTAAATATATACTATTCGATGTACGTATCTAATATAAATTAAATTAAACTATCACTAATAACATTGTTTTTTTTCAATTTAAAGATTGCTTATATTAATTTAGTATTATGTTGATATGATATATATTACCAGAGTAATATTGGATAATTTAACTGAAATTTTTACATTTTTTATGCACATTAAAATAATATTTTCAACCAATTATAATATCCACGTTTTTGTGACTTGGTATCCCAACTTAATTTTTCAACAAAAGCTAAAATGGTATAAATCATTCATAAATAAATACTATGACCTGAACATTTTTAATAATCTATATAAAATGTGAGTACAAGTTTTCATAACTATTGTCAACAATAAAAAATATTTAGTAGATTGTGCTATTGCTCTTTGTAGTTTTCTAACAAAAAATACATTTTTAATCGATCCGAAGGCACGATAATAGGCAAACACCTGTTTAGTATTCAGACGCGGAGATCTGTTGTGTGTTTATTGTATGTTTACTAAACTTTGATGTCGATTTGACATCATATTGATAAAGATTTAAAAAAACGTTTTTGTTGTTTTTATTATACTAATATATATGTATCGTTATGTACTTAATACAAGTGTATAATCGTAATGATGTACATTACGTATTGAAACATAATTGAATATACAAACATGTATATGTAACTGCATTATTAACCGCTACGATACGTCTATAACAACTCAACGCATAAAATCTGCAATGTGAAACGGCCTCGGATGTGACAGATATGAATGCAGAAAAGGTAATTGATGTTGCAACGCCTAAAAAAAGCAGTTCGAAGAAGTTAAGGTAAGTATATGCTTAAGATTTTTTTTTAGTGCGCTTTGTAATAAATTACGAAAAATAAATAACTGCTCGTTTTACGTGTTGAACGAAGAATATTGAAGATAATTACTCTCGGTCGTGATAGCGTTCAGGTTAAAAATTAAGTTGTCATCATACATGGCCAGCTGATTGGTAGAAATTCGCTACGATAAAAGGAAAGTAAACGTAGACAGGAATTCGATCGATTCTTTAATAACTATTTATATACACGTCGAGGTCATCTGCGATTGTCTTCATTGCATTTTCCATAATATCGGCTAAATAATTCATATTTATAATTTATATCGGCTATATAATTTAGATACCTAATTACGTAATCCGGGAAAATATATTAGCAGTTTAAAAAAAAGCGATTAAGAAGCTTACATTGTTTTTGCAACTTTTATTACTGTTCTTCCCGAAATTCCCCACACCCCGAAAAGAATCGTACATCATTGTGACCTCTCGTCTTCGACACACGTCGTGTTACATTATGTTTCAAATATTACGACGGAACTTCATGATGCTTATACTGTACGGATTCGTACGTGTTTTTCTTGCGCTCGGAAGGATGGTCCAGATGACTATTTTAGTCATCGTCTAGACGTATGAAAATCAATGATGTCAAACAATCGCCCACCTATGTTACTCGTGTGTAATATAAACAACGATTGCCGGTTGCGCGTGAATAAAAATAAATATTAATATTAGTTAAAGGGGACCTAGGTTACTTACAGCACCGGGGCCCAAGGGCGCCCATAGGAAAATTCTTAAGGGGGGGACAACATTTTAATTTATCAATATATTCATAAATAGGAATGGCCCATGATATAGGAAGGGGTTTACAATTTTACATTATACTATTACATTATTCAATTGGAAGACTATAAAATAATAATTATTTAACCAATTTACCATAAAAGTAATTTATTGAAATTTTTATTTAATTACTAATACAAATTGGACACTTAAAACATTAGTTATATTTATTAAAATATTAATTGACAAATATATAAATATTATGGTTGTGTACAAACACACATTTTCGTATTTCTGGAACTACACAATATTTTAAGAATTGATAACTATCCATAGAATAGAAACAAAAAAGTGTATTGTTATTTATATCTGATAACCTGATTTTCCAAACTAAATAGATTTTTCATAAACAAATTATAGATTTTCGTATATTAAATTAAATTTTAATAAATATTTTCTGATCATAGTAAACAATTTTCAAAGGGGAGGGCATGTCCCTCCCTTGCCCCCTCATATGGGCGCCCTTGCCGGGGCCCTATCCTTTGGAACCGTGTAGCCATCGTGCGTATAAAACCGTTTATTTCCATCCTTTGCACCTCTCCCGCTCCTCTTCGTCACGCGTATATTATTATAACACAATACATCGCGCAAACAACATTTTGGCACCGACGTCCGTCCGGCCGCGCGTAAATGGTCCGAGGTCATTGCGTTAACGATGGCGCGCGTTCGGCGAATGGGGAGAAAAAAAAGGCGACCGTTGGCATACCGTTTTTGTGGGCCAACGATGACGGACGGACACGTGAAGGGGTGTTGGACCACCAGCCGACTCGTCAATCAACAAGTCCTCCGTCGTCCTATGAGCGCATAACAGGTGCGCGTCATCATTTTTCATCGCGGTCGAGATTGAAAATAGAACGACGTGTTTTTTTTTTTTTTAACGCCGTCGTCAAGGGCGCGGTTTACACGGTTTCGGTCGTTAAAATGTTCAGATTATCATGCTATAACAATATGACGTACACAATCGTAAGACACAATGGTGGAGGACGCGCGCGCTATGTTTAAAAATATCACCGAACGATACAGACGTCCATGTCCCAACCGTTATATTTATGGTAGCCGCGTGGTTTTTTTTTTCGCTCTAAACAATCATTATAACGGCTACATGCAAACAGGAGAAATTTTTTCGACAGACGACCAAGAGCCGGACGGACCGAAGACCAGGAGACACGAATTTTATCCGCGACTAACACGTTTTGTTCTTTTCGCTTGTAAACGTTGAAAAATCAAAACAAAATGTAGACGCATAACAGCAGGCCGGTGTGTGGTTTTTTCCGCAGTTTATATTAATTATTTAAAATAACATATCGTTTGGGAATTCGAAAATCTTTTGTAAAACACTTGTCGTCCAATGTTTGTTTTTTCCAGTTCCCACGGCAGTCGAACAGAAATGGTGAAGCGCCGCTCGTCGCGTGGACCGCAACTCGCACCATACACAACACACATAAAACACCGAGAAACAGGCGATCGTAGGCGATTTAGCGCACGCGTTCGGAAAGAACAAAATCCATTAAAAAAAAAAAAACCCTTCCCTCAAAAAACTTACCAAATTAATTTCAAAGTTGAACAAAAAATGACACGAACACAATGTCATCGCAGTAACACGTGTGTTATATATTATATAATATAGGCCAGTAATAATAATGTTAAAAAAAAAAAAAAAGATTTAAGAATAATTGTATTTTTAACGCGTTAGACTGTTTTGGTTTAGTAGACGGAGTACAAACAATATATTATATATATGATTTACATTAAATTTGACTTCAATATGTTATTATTTACTATTTTATTTTACTGCAATATAACTATTATAATACTATCATTTGCATTTTATATATTATTTTAGGAAACGCATGTTAAGTGTTGCTGTTGGCATATACTATTGTTTATGAATAATAGTACTCATATAAATTATATATCATATAACCAATGATAGTAGTAATATTACAATATAATTTAACAAGTGCTTGGGTTTGGAGAACAATCGACGGACTCGACCACATGCCAAATGACAAGAAAAAAATAAATAGATTTCCATATAATATCGTCGTGCAATTACAGAATATATTAATTAGGTGTTAGAAAAGTCCTTCCGGTTCAGAACAATTATTCATATTAATAAAAGGCGTTCAAGTATCTAGAAAACAAATCGTATCAAATCTCAAATGGTGGCGCGTATTATAAATCCTATTGCCACGGGGCACTGATATCGCGCATATTCGGACCTATTCATTAGGAACCTAACTGATTACTTATTGATTATTAACTTATTGGTGAATTGGATCCACACACGAGTCATACCGAAAATCAATCAAAATCATTAGTTTATTCTGTCTGGTTACGAAAGTAGGACCTGCGTCAGCATTTTTCAACACCATGGATATTTCCACTGATAAAGAAATGATGATAGCATATTACACTATTAACTAAAAATGTTAATTAAAAAAAAAGGTTCATCAAAATCTAAGACCATGGCCATAGGCAGTTGCTATCCTGCTTAATGTTAAATATGACTTTATCAATAAGAGAAATAAGTGTTTAACCATCAAAAATAAAAAACTGATTAAATTTTCAAATGAAAACTTTTTTCAGCCATTTGAGGCAATTTTGTCGAATTTTAGATTTAATCGACATTTGTTTAATCAAAAAAAAAAAAAACTTAATTATATACATAATATAATAATAACAGTTACACTTAAATAGATATTTAAAAAATGAAATAACTTTTTTTTTACTTTTTTACTTAAATTATAACAGTAATAAAATCAATCTAATAAATTGCTATCTCCTATTATTTGTTTCAAATACGTATAGGAATTTTATTTATTCGTCAATAATAATTAGTCATCAGTACAAAAAGTAATTATATAAAATAATTTATACAAAAAATGCAACGCTCAAAATGATGTATATATATGTATATATATATATATATAAAAAAACAATAAAAAATTATCACAAATATACGAGTAGGTCATGGATTTTATAAAATGTCACAAAAACTTTTTTTTTAATTTTGGGTTTACATTATTTTAGGTTAGAAATTAACATTTGCCTAGTACCATAGCTAACAAAGCCATTCTCACATACATACCATACTCTGCCTGTCTAAAGTATGCAGCTCTAGGATCTGAATCAAATTCTGGACTGATTTCAAACACCCTAGGTAATGGATGCATGACAATCATCTTACGTTTGGCTTTGTTCATTAGTTCAGGTGTAACCACAAACAAGCCACATGCTTGTTTATAGCTGTTCTCGTCAGGGAATCGTTCTCTTTGAATACGTGTCATGTACAACACATCTGTTTCGGGTAGTGCTGCTTCTAGAGATGTAAAGTGTTCTTGTGGAACACCTCGAGAAGAAACAAATTGACAAACAGATGAAGGCATACCAAGATTTGGTGGATTTACAAATCGTAGATTGACTTTGTAAAGAGTTAACAACCTAATGGATAGGGATATAATTTAACAAGGGATATAATTTATACAGTTAAATAGATATTAAAAACACAGGAACCATACCTAGCAAGTGAATGTACTGTACGACCGTTCTTTAAATCACCAACTAATGTAATGGTAAGCCCGTTGACCGTACCAATTTCTTCTCTGATTGTAAATATATCCAGCAAAGCCTGAGTAGGGTGTTCTCCTGTTCCATCTCCAGCATTTACAATGGGCTTGCGAGAATGTCTGGCACTCATCTGAACACAACACAATTTATGTTTAAAGTGTAAAAACACTAGTACCATTAATTAAACATAAATTGTATGTTTAATCAATGCTAGTATAAAATATTTTAACACTTACCTTTACAGCACCTGGCTCTGGATGTCGCATAACAACTACATCTACATAACCACTCATTACTTCCACGGTATCTATAAAAATTCTAAGGTTAGTAAAAATTATTATTTTCAGTTGAAATTATCATCACCTTGCAGTGTCTCTCCCTTTTTGACCGAGCTACTGGTTTCATCAACATGCACAACTCGACCACCCAATCTCTGCATAGCGACTGAAAAACTGCAACTCGTTCTAGTGCTGACTTCATAGAATATTAGAGCCATGACCATGCCCTGAAATATATATGTTAACATAATTCACCTAAATTGAAGAATTATACACTCACTTTTAATATATTGTCTAGAGGTCGTCCTTTTATTACGTAAACTCTTAGCGTTTGTGCCAAGTTAAATATTTCATTTAGTTGTTCTTTTGAGAACATATCAACTGACAATATGTGACGGTGTGCTAGACCATGTGTAGAAATGTGCATCAAATTTATAACATCATCGGATACATGGTGACGTTTGTTAGATGTGATTAAAGTATCCTTTGAGTCACTGCCAGAGAGCAAATACGGTTTTTTAAATTCTGTCTTTACACCAGTCACAATTCCATCAATTTCATGCACAACTTTTTCTTTAATCTCAGATAAAACATTGTTAAACAAATCTGAAAAAATTAGTCTGGTTTTTATAATACATTAAGAGATAAATGGTATTTTAGATTACCATGAACATCAGTCTGAATTGTATGGGGAGCTATTAGGTTTAAAGAAGTTTGAGATCCGGTAACAGTATGAACTTTACCAGCAAATAATGGATCACGTAAATCCCGTCCAAATCCTGGTTCAGCAAGAACTTTGCCTTCAATACAAACCACTTGACCTCGTAAAACAACTCTATGTATTGAGCCTTTTACTTGTTTTCCAGCAAATGGCGTCCACTTGGCTTTAGAATATGTTGTTGATGATGGAATTGTCCATTCAGCATCCATATCTACTTCAATATATGTATTTGGCTGAGCAGGAAGTCCAAGAATTCGCATGGGATTTGTATACATTTTTTCAACAATATCCTACAATAAATACATTTGATGTTTTATTTGTTGCTATTAGTGCAACATTAAAATACAATTATGAAATGTATTTATGTTAAATATTATAATTATCAAAAATATGATTTTGAAATATGCATGTAAAACTATAAAATATGGTTCAATGTTGAAACAGCAAGTTAAAATGTATTAAAATTATTTAACAAAAATCTTACAATTAATAATTATTATACTTTTTTTAGTAAAAATTATAAATATTAATAGCATTTACGTACTTCAATGGTTAAACGTTTTTCATTTACTGCATTCAATAATAATGGCAAAACAGTTTCAAGTCCGGGAAAACCAGGTGGTGCTGTATCACTTAGTTTCTCTTCTAACGTATGAGGAGCTAAAAAAATACATTTTAGTTGTAGTAAAATAATGGTATTATCAATTTAATTATTTTAGCAATTATTTTTACCGTGATCAGTAGCTATGCAGTCAATATAAGCCATATTATCCCAAAGTGCTTGTTGATCTTCTTTGGTACATAGTACAGGCCGAACTTGTGATTTGTTGGGACCAAGATGCACTAAGTCTTCATCACACATAAATAAATGATGTGGAGCTACTTCACACGTAACCATTATACCCTAATATTTTTTAATTTATCAACTATATTTTCTTATTATAATTTGTATATTAATATGTATAATAATATAATACCTTTTCCTTAGCAGCTTTAATGAGAGTTATTTCTGATTTACGAGCGACATGACAAATATGAATTGAACGATTGTATAGGGAAGCTAATGTTAATACTGCAGCACAAGTTTGATCTTCTGCATGTATACACAGAGGAGCATGTTTTGGCCAATTCTCAAAATGCTAATATCAATAATTAATAATTAATAATACTATAAGGAAACCAAGAAATTATTAAATATAATGTGTATGTATTTTACTGATATCCATGAGGAAAGATTTTTTAGCTGTAATGTACTAAATGTTTGATTAAGATACATTTTAAGACCAGCAAACTGACCAGCATTTTGTGCAATATCAACACTGTTAGTGTTAGATGCACCAGCATACAAAACATAGTCACATCTAGCTCCATTTTTAGCACACTGTTAATTAAAAAAGAAAAATTACTAGAATTTAACCAATGTTAAATAAATTAAAAATATTATATTATTTACATTTTTAGCTATTTCGTAAGCTTCTTGGTCAACTATAGAAGGTTTAGTATTTGGCATAGCACCAATCAATGTAACACCTCCTGCCAGGGCTGCAGCTGTACAAGACGCAAAATCTTCTTTTTGTGTAGCACCAGGTTCACGTACATGGACATGTATATCAATTAAGCCGGGTAATTTAATTAATTTCTGAGAGGAGATACAGTCAATATGTGTTTTCATTTGTGGATTACATCCTTTTCGAACCATTGCCTAAACAAAACTATATTAAAAGTTGAACAAAATGAGATTTGTCAAATAAAATTATACCTCAATTAAAAGTTTGGCACATTTAACATCAGTAACCAAAGGAACAGCATGTTCAACTGCTAATCTGCGCATTCGATAACCAGGAGTAAGGAATGAAGCAACTCGGCTTGCTCCGCTTACCATCATAGGGGCATTTATGACAAAATCAAAATTTTTATTACTCAAATATTCGGCCAACCCAATTAAGTCACCTCTTGTTGTGTTTATGCCAATATTATCAAACCTCCAATCACAGGGGGTCACCTATAAAATATTTTTGTTATATTGAAGTTTAATATTTGGTAATGAACTTACAGTAATTCCTTTGGTATTGTAGTTATAATAATCAGCTGTTCCACTGCTACCAAATAGCTGATAGCCCATTGCCTGCAATGCTTTGACACTGTCAAGTAATTCTTCTTTATGCTGAATTTAAATTTTATTCTTAAATTATATATACTTAAACATATAATTAGTCTATTTTATTTTACTTTGATCTTTCCAATAGATAGAAATATCTTAGCTCCAGGTTGAGGCAGCTGCATTCCAGAACTGATCATTGCTTTCAAGTATGCTTCATAACGGTTTTCTCCAAAACAAGCTACTTCACCAGTTGACGCCATTTCTACTCCCAACATTACATCAGCTCCTAGGATTGTATTTTTAAATGAAGAGATGATTAAAAGTGATTAATTTAAAATATTTTACCTGCTATTCGAGAAAATGAGAATACAGCTACTTTAACACCAACTCTTCCTTCAACTCCGCCTAAGACATCTATTGGTTCAACTTCTTCTCCAATAATAACACGAGTAGCCATTGCCACAAAATCATGTCCTAGTGTTTTAGAGACAAAAGGAAATGATCTGGATACTCGTACATTACACTCTATTACTTTGAGTTCATTATTCTTAGCAATAAGTTGCATGTTTAAAGGTCCATTAACATTTAATGATGAAGCAATAGAACGACATATAAATTTAATTTTTTCTAGCGTTTCTTCATTTATGTCTTGTGGTGGTGTTACTAATGTTGCATCACCTGAGTGTACACCAGCATTTTCAACATGTTCACTAACAGCCATGCAAAGAATTTCTCCATCTTTAGCTACAGCATCTACATCAATTTCTTTGGCATCTTCAAGGAATTTTGATATGACCACAGGGTGTTCTTTTGATAGATCACTTGCGGATTTTAAATATGCTTCTAAATCACCATCATTGTGAGCTACATTCATAGCTGCACCACTCAAGACATAAGATGGCCGTACTAAACATGGATATCCTACTTCTCGACAAAACTCTATAGCAGATTTTAGGTCTATAAGTTCTTTCCACCTAAAAAAAAAAAAAAAATTTAAGGCAAATTATCATCAAAAATGGTAGCAAAATATAGTTCATTACCTTGGTTGGGATATCTTGATTCTATCTAACATTCTTGAGAATTTAAATCTATTTTCTGCTCCATCTACATCTTCTGGCGAAGTTCCTAAAATACGAGCATTCTGTCTATGCAAATCCATGGCAATGTTATTTGGTAATTGTCCTCCCATACATAAAACTACGCCTTCAGGGTCTTCCAGGTTATAAATATCCATTACAACCTGAACAACAATATATCACATAAATACCCTAACTATTAAGAAAATGAATTTAATACCTCAAAAGAGATTTCTTCAAAGTATAAACGATCACACATATCATAGTCTGTGCTAACTGTTTCTGGATTACAGTTTACCATGATTGTTTTTTTATTAAGTCTTCGCAGTTCTCTAAGACATCCAACGGCACACCAATCAAATTCAACTGAACTCCCAATACGATACACGCCCGAACCTAAAAATAATGACAAATAATTATTGAAGTTTACTTGGTCATTTAATTAAAATCATCTTACCAATAACCATAATGAAGTTTGAAGGAAAGTTTAAGTCACTGCTAATGGCATTATAAGTCAAATACAAATAATTTGTTTCTGCAGGATATTCAGCTGAAACAGTATCTATTTGTTTCACAAAAGGAGTAATTCCTTGTTCTTCACGTCGTTTGCGAATAACTAATTCAGTACTTTGGACAAAAGATGCAATTTGTTTGTCAGAAAAACCTAAACGTTTCGCCTTCAACAAATCGGCATAAGGGACTGATGGATAATTGTACGATTCTAATTTAGTTTGATGTTGTATAATATTTTGCATTTTAGATAAAAACCAACGATCTATTTTTGTTAGTTCATAAAGTCTATCTATTGAATAATTCTGTCTTAAAGCAGCTGCTAAAACAAATATTCGTTTATCAGTAGGTTGTTCTAATTCATTATCATTAACAGCTTTCAACAACGGATCAAAGCCATTAAAGTTTTCATCCACCATGCGAAACGCTTTTTGGAATGCTTCTTCGAAATGCCTTCCAACTGACATCACTTCTCCAACACTTTTCATGGAACTACCAATCTTTTGAAAACAAAAAATAAAAATTTTAAATTGACTAAATCTTTATTTTACAAATAAATAATTAAGTACCTTTGTACTAGCGCGGAAAAATTTACTAAGATCCCAACGTGGCATTTTTACGACACAATAATCCAAACTAGGTTCAAAACACGCAGTAGTACTTGATGTAACAGAATTAATTATATCAGGTAAAGCAATACCAAGTGAAAGTTTGGCTGCTACATAAGCCAATGGGTATCCAGTAGCTTTACTAGCTAAAGCTGAACTCCGGGAAAGCCGTGCATTCACCTAAAAGTTGATAAATTAAAATTATAAGTAAATAAATAATATTAAATAATACAAAATTATTTACTTCAATAATGTAAAATTCATCCGATGATGTACTCAATGCGTATTGTATATTACATTCACCAACAACTCCAAGATGACGTACAACTTTAATTGCTGTTGTTCTTAATCTATTATACTCAGCATTTGATAGGGTTTGACTTGGAGCTACAACAATTGATTCACCTGTATGAATTCCCAATGGATCAACATTCTCCATATTACAAACCTAAAATAAAAAAATGGTTTTACTATTTAGCACATTCAAATATTTACAGACTAAATACTTACTGTAATACAATTGTCATATGCATCACGTACTACTTCATACTCAACTTCTTTCCATCCTTTTAATGATTTATCCAAAATCATTTGATTACTATGGTTAAAACATTGTTTGGCTAATGTTTGGAGTTCTGATTCATTATTTGCAAAACCTGAACCCAGACCACCTAAACTGAAGGCACTTCTCACAAGCAGTGGATATCCCAAAATTTCAACTGCTTTTAAAGCCTGAAAATAATAATATTGAGTTAAATAATTTTAGAGATGAAATTGTACAGCATATTATTACTTCAACATAAGATGTAACAACAGCACTAGGAGCAACACGCTCCCCTATTTCTACAACTTTATCAGAGAACTGTTTGCGATCCTCCGTAGCTATAATTGTTTGGATTGGTGTTCCTAATACTTTTACATTATATTTTTCTAAAATTCCAGATTTCTTTAATTCTATTCCACAGTTGAGAGCAGTCTGTCCACCAAATGTAAGCAATATACCATCTGGCCGTTCAGATTGAATTACTTGAGTAACAAAATCAAGTTCCAAAGGTAAAAAATATACTTTATTTGCTAATCCAAGAGATGTTTGTACTGTTGCTATGTTTGGGTTAATTAAAATGGTAACAATATTTTCTTCACGCAAAGCCTTTATTGCTTGAGATCCAGAATAATCAAATTCACCAGCTTGACCAATAGATAATCCACCAGAACCAAGGATTAAAACTTTTTGAACATCTATTATTGTTTTATGAATCTCTGGATTTAAATAATGTTGAAGAACATCCATTAATTGATAACTATTATTATTTCTAGTTCTAGTAACACATTCCAAGAACACATCAAATAGACATTCTAAATCTTCAGGACCAGGACATCCTTCTGGATGAAATTGAACACTATGAAACCAATTAATTATGAATTATATTTTACTATTAATATACATTATAATTAATTTTACCTGAAATATGGTAATGTATTATGCATAATTCCTTCATTTGATTTATCATTAATGTTTGTAAATAATGCGGTCCAATCTGAAACATTAGGATCTACAGCGAATCCATGGTTTTGTGAGGTCATATAACATTTTCCAGTCTCTCCAAATTCACAAGGCTGATTTTGACCTCTGTTTCCAAATCTAGAAAGATAATAATATAATAATAATACATAACTCATTACAAGATATAACTCACTTCATTTTATAAGTCTTACAACCAGCTGCTGTTGCAAGTAATTGATGGCCAAGACAAATTCCAAATATTGGTTTTATAGTATCTGTATTTTTTAATACTTTCTGTATATTTAAAATGGTTTCTTTATTCATATCAGGATTTCCTGGACCATTACTTAGAAATAGACCATCATAGTTAGCAATATCATCTAATGGAGAATTCCATGGTACAATATCAACTCGAGCACCACGTTTAAGAAAACATCTAATTTGATTATATTTTAAACCACAATCAACAAATCTAATTCTGGGAAAACCTTGCTCATTGTATGTTTTTGGCATCTAAACATTAAAAATGTAATATATTGGTTACACACATGAATATTGTAATTTTGAAAATAATAATAAGAAAATAAAAATAACTAAATTTACTAACTGAAATTGAAACATCTTTGATTAAATTAATTTTATTTGGGTCGACTACATTTTTAAAACTTTTATCAATATTTTCAGTAAGGGTAACAATTTTTCCAAGAAGTGTTCCTTTTTCTCTAATATGTTTAGTTAATGTACGTGTATCTACACCACAAATAGCTGGAATGCCACATTCAGTTAACCATTCATCTAATAATTTTTGACTACGCCAATGACTTGGACGATCACAAACTTCATCTACAATTAAAGCAGATACCCAAATACGATTAGACTCAAACCACCTAAAAATAAAATCAGTTTAAGGTATTAGTATATGATTAATATTTTAGCTATATAAAATATGCTATACATTTGATATAAAAATATTATTTAGATAATACCAACTATAACTTAAGTAACAATACAATTTAGAAGAAAGATAAATTTTAAATTGTATTTTATTCTGTTAATTAGTATTTCATAGCATAAAAATAGAATAATCAATAACTTTTTTTTAAATAAACCTGCCACTAGTAGTGCCATCACTGGATGACTCTTCCTTCACATTTTCATAACTATATTATATTAGCACATATTTTTATTATACTCAAGGGTACAAGATATACAGATTGTATATATCTTGTAAAAAAATAAAATAAAATAAACTTAAAGAGGAAAATATGTATTTTAGGCCATAAAGTTGATAGTAAGTATAATTGTAATAAATTAGTATTAAAACTAAATTTATTTTCTACTATTTAATAAGGGAACTAGTTCACAAATAAGACCATAAAAAAAATATATCATAATAGTTTTTTTATCAAATACAATTTAAAAATCAACAACTAAAATTCATTAAATAATAATAACATCGCAAAAAAGTAAATTAATTTATTCTATTTTGTATTTATAAAAAGTTTAAGCCATTAGTAAATAAAAATAATTAATGCAAATTGATAAAAATTTGAAATATTTTTTTTATTCAAATTATAAAATTAATAAATAGAATGATTATAGAAAATAACATTCAGAACTAAAATAAAAACTCTTAATATTTTAAGTTTTCTGTTGAAGTTAATAATTTGAAAATTAAATTAATAGTCAATTGAAAATAAAATACATGATGTATATTCATTAGGTATTTTCTATTTAAATTAGTCTAAAACTAACTTAAAAAATCATTAAGCAATAAAAACTAGAATTTGTATTGTATATATTGTCAATGGTGTACAACCTGGTTATTATTTTCTACAGGGGTTAACATAAAGAATTACCACCAACCAATTTTTTACACTGGTCCAATGGGTGATCTACAACTGATAATCTTAATGTGCGACCTACAGCCATTGTGCGTAATCTTAACTGGCTATTGGCTATGCATGTAAAGTAAATACAACTATGGTCGTCTTCGGTGTGGTGATATTAGACCAATTGAGGAAAATGAAAATTATAGTGATGATACCAAAGATTATGGAACACGTGTATTTGGCCCGTGGGTTTTTGGACTTGGTTGCAAAAAAAAAAATGATCTTTATGATTGCGTATGAAAATGAGTGCTACGTTGCTAACATGTACACAATAAAAATATTGTTATTATACTATAGTTGTTGATGCATATATTTTACCAACATTATATTTGTAAACTAGATTTTTGTCACTTATTGCATAAAAAGTAATACCTTAATACTTCAAATCTATAATTCACAAAATAAAAATGATCATAATAAATTAAAAACAATTTATAGAATACAATAAAAATATATATTATTAGTTATAAATTAAACTTTGATATCAAAAACCAGTTCTTGATAAAAAATATTTAATACATCATCATCAATTTTAAATTGGTCATATAGTTTTATCCTATATAATAATTAAAATTTAATATAATTTTATAGTATTTTATAAATTATTGAAATGTATTGGCAAGGGTATAATAGTCACAGTAACATCTATGAAACTATCAAATATAAGCAATAATCTCCTAAAATAAGCTATTTTATACTTTTATACAGTTGTGAACAACAGCAAAGTTGTGCTAAGTTTGGATAGATAGAAAGTACACAATTGTAACATACCCATTTTGTAAATATATTGTTTACTATTTGAATTGTTTTACATTAGCCTGTACTTTTAAAAATAAATGAAAACTTAACCATAATGGCAACACTGTGAATATTTGTAAAAAAAAAAGTTATATCTCAACTGGCAGACGGGCATTACTAAATGAATGTGTATCTAAAATGTAGTCAAGATCATTTTGAGGCAATCAACAATTATATCAAGCATACTCACCGTTTAATCCCATAATCATCTGTTTCATAGCTAGGAACTCCATAGTTGCCTACCAGCGGATATGTTAACACCAACAGTTGTTTATAGTACGAAGGATCAGTCAGTGACTCGGGATATCCAACGATTCCAGTTTGAAATACTAAATAAGTATAGGTACATTAGTGGTGGGCCCACACAAAGTAAATAACACTTCAAATAACAACATACCGACTTCACCATCAACAGGTAGCACATTGGAGCCAAAATTATAACCAGCAAATTCGGTACCGTCTTCTAGAACGAGTACGCAGGGTTTGCAGGACATCGTATGCTTTTTAAAAGACTAAAAACGTGTGAAAATTACTTTCAAAAAAGTTGAAATAAAAGAAATCGTCAAGCGCGGTGTGAAATTGCTCTGTTGGAATTCCGGGAGTAGATATAATTATTTTTTTCCTGTGTTTTTTCTCGAGCGTGCGTTTATCAAATTTCGGCTCACAAAACAATAAAAACACGTGAGTTCGAATAACGGTACTTTGTTCATAACCTTATTGTTAACGATTCATACTTACCGAGGTTAACTATCAAAGACTATGTAGATCGTAATCGTAGTACTATTTATAATAGTAGTAGTAGTAGTACTATTTATAATAATAGTAGTACAATGTTGCGGGTAAAGTATTGGAAAATCGAAACCAAAAATAGTGCACCACCGGACGACGAGCTCGGATTCGAAACGAAGAATACCGAACGTTACAAAATGAGGGGTATCTTAGGCTATAACACTTCAAACAAAAACATGAGACGCATTTGTATATATTTATAATAAAAAAAAAAACATGTTACCCGAACGTTGATCGTGAACTGAGAAATATACAACACCTACTTAGTACTGATGCCCGGAGTATTTAATGTGCCGTAATTAAAAACACTACATTACAGCCCATGGTTAAGATTATGCACATTGATATGATTAAAATATTTTAAAGTCAATTAATTTAATTATATTTAATAATACCTAGAATAATTGCCTGAAATACCCATCATGCTATCGTCTATCGACGAAGTCACATATCAATGTCAATAACTTCATGTTGCAACTAAATAGTCGCAAACGTGTTTAGTCTTTGGAGGCGGCCAGTCTTAAAAATAGTCGTAATGTATTTCATGGTCTAATAGTGGTAAAATTAATAAGTAAATATTTTTTTGTTATACAATCATGTTGATTTATTTGCATTTTAGGTTGTAAATTAGTATTAACTCTATAAAAAAAAAAAAAATATATTTCCATAACGGTTAGAAATCCAATTTTCTATTATTATAAATACAATATGCAAGTATTTATTTATTTTTTTTAATGAACTAAGATATAATATTGTTTTCTAAACTTTTTGGATTAACATATTAAATATATAAAATTCATGAACATTGAACTTGTTTAAAACTGTATTTAAGGGCCAAATAATTTATTCAACACACCTTTCTATTTTTTTTTTTCGCGGAAGGCATTGTACACTCTAAGTCTTGACTCAACATTTATAAATTATTATAAATTTAATATAAATATACAGGCATAGAAATATTTGGTTACTAAGACCTATTTGTTATTTAAATTTTATTTCTTATAAATATTTATCACCAGAGCAATTTTATTTTCAAAGGAATTTTAATTAGTCAAATACAATTAAGGATGATGGAACAAAATATTTTAGATTAAAAAATTAAACAATAAAATATTATACAAGTATCTATTTAACTAAATATAGAAATAATTATTTTATAGGTAAATATAAACTAAAATCATATTTAAGTTATAGAAAAAAAAAACATTATTAACACAAGTTTTAACAAATAAATATTTAATTAAAAACATTGATGGAATGTAAATTTATTCAGCAACATTGACAGTAATGGTTTTGCCTTTAGGATCGTCAAATGTATCCATGGTTTTGATATCCATTATCATAGTGATACCCCATGTAACAATAAATAGCAGAAGGAAAGTGACAAATAAACCAGCCAATATGGGCGGAGTAAAAAAAGAATCTCGTTCTTGAGGATCACTGAATTTTGCATTTTCTGATGACTTAGTCAACCATGGCTGAACCTAGGTAAAAATAATTTATTTTTAATGTTGATTTAAAATAACTTAAATTTTAAAGTAATTAAAAGTGCATTAATCATTGTTAATTATATTTATTATGAGAAAATAATTAGTTTAAAACTAAATAATTGTAGTGTAAAAATCCCAAATATAAAATTTGTTCTTCACAATATTTATGGTTTATTTATAATAAGTAGCAAAAGTATTTTATAGTATAAAAAAAATTACTGAGCTGATATTTTTTTAATACGCTTCTAAATATTGTACTTAAAATTATACCTGGATAATTATCAAGACTTTAAATTTAAATTAATTTTAGCTATTGATATATAATATTTTATATCATCTAAAAGGATAACTTAAACACAGTTGCCTAAAAGACACTTTAATAATTACTATCAGTATTACATGTAAATGCAGAAAAAATTAGTATTAAAATAAAATGTATACTAAATAATTTTAAAATTATACTAAGAAATATTAATTAAAATAAATTACTAACCTGAAATTTATCATTAAATTTCAATACAATGGTTTCATTAGAGAAGATTACTGGACCTTCTGAGAAGTAAGACAATCCTTTTTGAGCACCAATTGGCTGTTTAGGTGTAAGTAGAACATTAGAGCTACCATTATCAAACTCAATTGATTTCAAATCCCAATTAAATGTTTTTCTTTCAAAACGAAAACGTAATGTCACTTTTGATTCATTGGCTAAAAAGGTAGTTCCAACTTTAAGTAATGAATCACGTGAATCATCAATAAATACCTATATAAAAAAAAAAAAAAAAAAACATTACTTATATATGTTTTGATATATATATATATATATATATATATATATAACCATAAATATTTATACTTCAGCATTAGATCCTTTTAGTTGTGTATCAGGACCATTGTTAATCGATAAAGTTGGATAGCTAGCTGAATATATTAGTGATTTTCCTTTAGGATCTATAATTTTCAATGGTTCAGATGTACTATCAGCTGCCATTAGGTGTCTGGTTACAAAATGAAGTGCATCTGATTCTTCAGTTTTTTTAATCCATGGGTTCAGTTTACCAGAAAACACTAATACTACATTAGTATACTGTTTACAAAGGTGATTAAACATTTTTGAAATATTATCATTATTCTTCAATAAAGTTGATTGTCTATCGTTATTATTATTATGATTATTTTCATTAAGATCTGCCAAAGCTATAATTTTTCCAGAACCATTTACATATGTATCATCATTATAATCTTTGATAGAGAAACCATTTTTAGATAACATTTCAACAGCTTTTTCAGGTTGATCAACTGATGGGAAAAAACGCTTTTCTTCAGTATTTTCAAATAATTTAAATAAACTATGACCATGATCATCTACAAAATAAAACAAATTAAAAATTAAGTTTTAATATTAGTAATAAGAAAATTATTATATGAGCCTTTAATTGAGTTCAATATTTTAACTTTTAAAATATATAAAAAAAATAGTTGTATTTAAATATAATAAAATAATAATACTTCTAATACTTCTAATATGAACAAGGCAACATTTTTAATAAAGAACAGATTGCTGTAATTTTGAGTTTATAATGGAAGAAACTACAAACAACTTATTTTAATTACAAATCACCAGTAGAAAGAATTTTATGTATAACTATTTAAATTTGAAAGAATCAAACATTTTTTTTTTCAAAAAAAATTTTGAAAAAAATGAAAGTGTTTATGAATAAAAGTAAAATTTATAGTTATAATTAATTGAATTTCCTTACATACTTAATACTTTAAATCATCTAATAAAATAATATATTGGAATTATGTAAAAATGTATACCTTAAAAGGAACATAAACATAAATCATGTTAGAATTACAAAATGCATATAAATAATCCCTTTTGCCAATATAAAATATTATATGAAGTAAACAGGTTTCAGATTAACTCTTTTAGAAAGAATATGAATAACTAGGTAGTTATATACAATAAATTCTGACATGTATGTCACGCTCTGTACAAATTCAATTTGTACAAAAAGTTACATTTATAATTTTCAGTAATTATTAGGACTTAAAAATTAAAATTAATCTAAATTAACTATCTAGCTGTAACACTGTAATCAAAATACAAAAATTAGGAACATTAAAATCCTATCAAACAAATGCATATTTACTGTTAAATTACTACACGAAAAATATTCATGTTTATTAATTAGTTCTACTAGATATATCTATAGGTAATAAAAATAACAGATAGGAAATTAAAATACAAAAACAAATAATTTTTATAGAGAATTAAATATATTTTCAATGAAGTCTCCCAACCTAACATAATTAAATAAGATAGGTTGTTATAAATCACAATTATTATATACATTCAAAATATTACCTTTTACTGTGAAGTCTTCAAAGCTTAGTTCATTTTGCAAAACCATTACTACTTTAGTGTCCTCATCCCAAAGTGATACAAGCAAATCTTTAAACCCAAAAACATCCATAGAGTGTTGGTACTTGGGTAAGGCAGTTAATGGTGTTTTTCCACAGGAAATAGCGATTGTTGGAACTTCATCGCTGAAAGACGACGAGAAAGCGGACAACAAACACCCGAGTATAACAGTCAGATACTTGGCCATTTTAACGAAGATTTTATATAATCATTCACAAAAAACCACGCATTCTTATTAAGTATAATTCAAAAAATTAATAAATGGAGAGCTATAATTAAGATTACCCAGTGTTATAATCTGTACTTGAAACTCACCTGATAAGAGAAAAAATCGATAAAGGGAAACGCCCGGAACCTAACAGTTTATCCACATCATCGTTTTCAATGATAATAACCTCCTTGGAATATACCGTTTCGAAAATACGGCGCTAAGAAAAACAATAAGTGTACATATTGCAATTGTTTTTGAAACCAATAAATATTCAGGTACGACCAGACAATTTTATAATGAAGTTGGAATTTGAGACTGATGTATTCTTATGAACTATGAATGCTTGAAAACATGCATTGTCATACAATTCTCGAGTATCTGTGATCACCAGGGTTGGGATTTTATAGCATATGCATATTCCTTATGAGATGCTTAAAAAATAACAGAGTAAACTAAAAATGTGTTTCATGATACAGAGAACTCAAATAAAAAATTTTATTTTGCTTTTTTCGCATATTTAGCATTTTTTTAGTTTTTAGTGCTTTTTTTGTATTTTTTGAGCCTCTTTTGAATTTTACCTGTGTTTTAATCAAAATCGGGCATGTTTCATGAAATTGTATAGGTAAACGTGTTTTTTGATTTTTGTCGATCGAATTTTCAAGATTCAAAATTTTAAATTAAATTTTAATTTAAATTATAAATGTATAGATTAAGTAAATAGGTCGATCACGGTGATGCAACGCTGTACAATTACAGCGGAAGTATATAGGTAGGTATAATATAATATTGATAATATTATGACTAAAACAAATAACTTAACGATAATTTCGTTTTAGTTATTTGGTTCTAATTTTTGTTATCTGCTGATTTTGTTGGGCTTTTTCTGTCGATTTTTACTAAATCTACTAATAGTCGATTATCAACGAACGAGTGTAGAATTCGTTTTATGCAGTCCACATTGGAGATGGAAAGTTTAGTTCACTTCTGTGAATAGTTTATAAGTTCATTCAAATGAACTATCCTTAAGTTCACCTAGTTCACTAATTTCATTGATCATACTGATATTGTTTGGCAATGAACTATTCGTTTTATCACTATTAGTACAGCAGTACACAATTCAGTAGTAATTCACACTACTTATGGGCATTTAGGTATTTGTTATCTAACTGTAAACAGCTGTTTAAAATACCGAATTTCGAACAACGAACCACAGAGAATTTTTAAAGAAGTTCACGAACTATTTCAATTCTACAATGCTACCAAGTTTTTTCGAACTGTGAACTGTTAAGTTACAGGTACTGAAACAGTTCAGAATAGTTCATCAAAGTGAATAGTTCAAATGAACTATTCGTTCATGAACTTAACATCTTTAGTTAGTGTTGCCAGATTTGAGTTAATTACCCTATATTTAGATATTTAGGATTTTTTTTTTTTTTGTTAGAGTAATTTTTAGGGAGCTAAAATTATCAGGGTGCGATATTTTAATCATAGTGCAAAATTAAAATTAATTTATACAAAATATATATCATATAAAAAAGAAAAATAAATGATATAAATCTACAACTGTCAATAATTGCAATGTGATAATCTGATAACTGATAAGCAAAAATTATAATCTGGGAAGTCCCCATAGATCTCTTATTAGACTAATGGGTACATCGTGCTAGTAAGTAATTGTAATATTAGTAGTAATTACAATTATACTTTTAATTTTAAGAAATGTCACGAAAGTATACACAAAAATTAGCTATAATGAATTAAATAAAAAATAATTTTCAAGAAAAAAAAATGTTGGGGGGTGATATCGAAATTTAGGGGTAACAGATCCCCTCCCCATAGGTCTTTTTAAAATTGTATAAAATAGTGTTCTTAGTGTAAGGAAATTATAAGGAAACAAAAAAAATATTGCAGGATATATTATAAATTATTATTTTGACACATTTTTATATATAGATTTTATTATTCATTATTGAAATGTGCAGATACTTAGGTTTAGAAATTTTACTTCCATAATAATTTTTTTGCAACTGATCCCCCCCCACCATACAAAAGATATGTATAGGCCACAGGTGTTATTAATAGGTTTTCGCAAATTAGTCGTGTTTACTTCTTCGTGTTGTCGTGATCCGAGCGCGCGATATTTTCATTCGATTTTATTTATTTATTTAAAATGCCGAAGATTAGTGCAACTACATCTAGTAGACTAAATAAATTTACTGTCGAATACAAAGATATTTTTTCTACACATGGTTTAGTTTTTTTTTTGCAAATTTTTTATTTTATAGGGTATATTCCTACAAAATAATAGCATAAATGCATATTTTTGAGGTTTTTAGAGCATATAAATCCGGACTTTAATTAACAGCAATTTTCACAAAATAGCAATAGCAGAAAAAAAAGTTTACCCTCATTATGTTGAACCCAGATTACAGAATACCAATGAAAATGGACAGGGACTGTGATCGGAAAAGGAACAGGTTATCGAATGAGGAAATGCCATTGTTGGTGCGTGGACCAATGGGATTGCGTGGTAAAACAGGTGTCTCGTTTCGATTGGTCGCCGGTTGTTTGAACGATTTGTTGAATTTTACGGATAGAAGAGGGCGGGACGGATACGGGAAATCGATTACGCCCATAAGTTAATTTTTTTAGTTTTCAATAGCAACTCTTATTTTCAATTGTGATATTGTATGTTCAACGATAACGGCAATACGAAATATTTCAAATACATGACCTTGTATGTAATTCGGGTTTTTTGTAACACATTAAGGACATAAAATTACATTTATCTTTGATAAATCTTAATTTTTTTGTTTTTTTTTTTATTAAAATAGAAAATTTATAATCTGTAACATATGTACAATAAGCAAATGTGATATAAAATGTGACAAAAATTACAGATTCATATGAGGAGGGAGGCTGTCCAGTGATAGAACCCTCGTGCGTCGCTGGGGTCAGGGATTTAGTAAATCCCTGCACCAACGCCTTTTTAATCGATGGGTGGGATTATTCGGTGGGTTTGCTCCACCTTGATTAGCTATGAGGAGGTTGGGGTGGGATTTTTTATAATGTTTAGATGCAACTGTGGTAACGGATTCAATTTTTAGGTCATTGAGGAGTGAGTTGTTGGAAACATAACAGGGAGCAGAAGTTAGTAAACGGAGAGTAATTGATTGAAATGCTTATATTGTTTTTATTTGTGATGGTTTGACACAGCCTCATATCTGTATTCCGTATGCCCAAATGGGTCTTAACATTGATTTGTATATAATTATTATATTACTAAGGGAAAGATTTGATTTGAGGATAGGACGGAGGAGGTGTTTACTGTTGAGTTTTTTCATTGTTGCTTTTCAATGGGGACCCCAGATGAGACGTTTGTCAAGGATCAGGCCCAGATATTTAATTTGAGTTTCAATTGGGATTGCCGTTCCATTGAAGTGAAGGACAGGAGATATTTCTTTTCTTAAGGTGAAAGGACTTTTCAGTATTTATTTTTATTTTCCAATTGGATGCCCATTTTTCGATTTTAGTAAGATGCGATTGGAGATTGGAGGCTACTATGATGTTATTACTATGGTCGCTTAAGATTGCAGTGTCATCTGCATATGTAGCTATTAGTATGTTGTCAGCGCTTGGTATATCTTCGGTGAACATATTATAAAGGTCTGGAGATAGGTCGCTCCCTTGAGGGACCCCTGCATGAATTTTGAAGTAGGAGGAGAAATTGTTACCTTGTCTAACAACAAATGTACGGTTAGAGAGGTATGATTTAATTATTAAATAAAGGGGTGCTGGTAGAATTTTTTTTATTTTGAAAAGTAGTCCTTGATGCCATACACGGTCGAAAGCTTGTGATACGTCGAGGAAAACTCCGGGGCAGTATTTTTTTTCCTCGAACGAGGAAGATATTTTGTCTATAATTCTATGGATTTGTTGGGTGGTAGAATGTTTGGACCTAAAGCCGAATTGAGTGTCAAGAATTATTTTTTGGGTTTGAGTGAAAGATTTGATTCTAAGGAGTAACATTTTTTCAAACAATTTGACTAAAAAAACCGATAGTAAGCTGATAGGCCGATATGAAGATGCCTCATTTCTGGGTTTGTTTGGTTTATGTATGAGAATTATTGTAGAAAACTTCCATATAAGCGGGAAATAAGATAATCTTAGCATTGAGTAGTATAAGTAGGTAAGAAGTATTATGGAATTTTTCGGGAGAAATTTTAGCATTTTATTTGTGATTAAGTCGTAGCCGGGTGATTTTTTATCCTTTAGTTTAAGTATTGAAATTTTTTATTTCATTAGGGGATGTATGTTTTACGGGGAATGACATCGGTAATGGGTTATCTAAAAAATGTTCAATTTCGTTTAGTTTGTTTGGGTTGGGAGATATATTAGAGTGTGGTGTGAATATATTTGAAAGGTGAATACCAAAAACGTTTGCTTTTTCTTCATCGGATGTAGTTAATGAGCCATCTTCTTTTTTTAGTGGATAACTATGATTTTTAATTTTAATTTTTAGTGGCTTTCCATATAGATCCGTCCTGTGTATTTAGTGCTTGATATTTTGATTTGAAGTATATTGATTTATGGGTTTGTATTAATTTTTTGATTGTACTGGACATGTGATTGAGTGTTCGTTTGTCAGAAGGGAGACCGGATCTCTGCCAGCAAGAACGAATTCTGCGTTTCTCGGCAATTAATGACTTTATATCGGGAGGCAGTTCGTAAGCATTATTTTTAGTCAAATTAACTTGATTGGGTGAATAGGATAAGATGAAGACGGCGGTTTGTATTGAGGTAACCAAATCATGTGGCGGCATTTTCTATTTATTATTAAAAATAATTTGTAAATAATCTGAGAATGATGATATCGGAATACCCGAATACCTAGAAACTAAAAAATAAAGAACTACAGTACAAGCTACAATTATATACAATTATAATGGTTTTATGATGGTTTCCTTATCGATGGGAATACGAAGTTTTGGGGGTACACTCTCACTACGTCGCGCGTCGCCTAAACTCGTAATTAGGTATATATAGTTTCTTTTGATATTATTATATAAGTTATATAAGAAAAAAATTAATTAACACGAATTAATGATTAATATGACTATAATTACTTGTTATTTTTAAGAAAAAATGTTTTAGGTTACTAAAAACAGTAGAAGTAGATTCTTATATTTTTACATTTATAATATTTCTGTTTTAGAGGAAAATAAGATGAACGCTAACCGATGTAAAAATCGTCTAAAAAAAAAAAAGCTCAGAACCTACAAATGTGTTCTACTCTTGTAATTTGATAGCACAAATTATTTTTCTATGCAAAGTAAAAATGTAGGTTTAAGGCCGCCCGAGGCAGTATTATTCAGTATTTTTATTTGGCCTGAGTAAAATTTAAAAAGTTTGGCGCCACAGGTTCTATATATACATTAAATTACAAAAGAAGAATAAACTTGGATGGTACACGAATAAATTATGTTGGTAGTAATTTATTTTCAAATCTAACATTGTTACCGAATCAAATTGATTTTATTCACAAGGTTCGATGAAAACTTCTTCCTTAATTTGGTCATGTAGTTAAATATTATAATTTAAAGAGAATAAAAAAAAAAAAAATCAAAACAATTACGTTTAATAATAAAATATTATTATAACTTAAAATAACAACATTTAAAAAAATAAATTAATGTCCAACAACAGTGGATACAACTAGCTACTAGGTATATTTCAATTATACCTACACATTGAACAATGAGAATATTAAGAGTAAATGCATTTTATACATTAAGAAATTGTCTGTTAAAATTGAAATACATAAATTTACATTATATTCTTAAAAATTCATAAATAATTTTATTATTTTAAAATATAATTATATATAATGTTAATGTATACATATTTTATACTTACAAAACAATAGTTAAAATTGTCAACAGACATTTTAATATAAAACCATCATAATATTTAAATTAGGTATTATAAACTTATCATACTCTAATCATATAAATATTTAATCTAAATGTTTTTAAATTAAGGCAGTGTACAATTTTATTTTAAAATATTAGGTAAACAAATTAAATATTATACATTATCCATTTAACAGGTGTTATATTTTTGGAGAAAAATTAAAAAAACCGATTTATTATAACTAGAAAAATTTATATAAAATTTAGCAAGAAAAAATAATAACACATTAATTTTTTTTCTAATACAATATTTTTGGGTTGGTGTTTTAAAAATTAATTTGGCTATATTTACAAAATATACACATATATACATCAATTAAAATTATTTTTCCTTTATAACTACACACATAAGTGTATAGTCTTAAAAAATAGACCATTTTAATTGACTATCAAAAACCAAATATATGAGAGTATGTACTAATGATCACTTTATGAGAAAATGACTACTCAAAATATATAAATATCAATTTAAAATAACTTGATAATTATGTAAAGCACACAGAACAGTATTGCAATTTATAGATTAATAAAAAAAGTCAATTTCATGAAGATATAAATATTTACGCATTTTATACATTTAATATTATATTATGCTATAACTATTTGGCAAATTGTATTTTATAGTTACAAATTCAATATATCAATAGAAATAAATGTACTTCATTTTTCAAGAAATGTTTGAAACATACATAAGAATAACAATATTAACACATTCAAAATTGTTATAATTGACCATAAGCGTAACATCCGGTACATTTATTTTCGATCCTAAGTATAAAGACAAAATTATTAATATTATATTATAATATACTATAAATACACTAAAATAAGTATTTTCTATATACAAAGAACCATTAGGAGACACATATGTTTTAATCACAAATTGTCATGGTACACGTGTCATATGTTATCTACCAAGAAAATCATATCTACAAAAATCTACACAAACGTATTAATGCCTGTTGGTTCACAGTTGTCCTATTTTAAATAGCTTATTTGTTAACAGTTGTTCATATTTTTCTTATTTTTTAACAAAAATGTTTTTTTTTTATATCTTGTAAAAAACATTGAAAAACATTTTTTTGATTGATGGATTTCCACCATTCTTCTTGTATTTGTCTTTAAAGATTGGTCACTTCACGAGCTCTGATTCCATACTTTACTTGCATTTGTTTACATAAGCCTTCAATAGTCTATGTTTGACCACCTGTACACGAATCTATAAATTTTTTGTTGTGGTTAACTGTTTGGTTTACGGTAGATGGCATACGACACAGACAATTTGTTGGTAGATAGCATACGACACGTGTGCCATTGTCATCTAACAATTAATCACTTAACGACTTCACCCAACAAAAATCAACTAAACCACAAAAACACGTGTGAAGTTAATGTACTTAGTTGCAAACAATAAAAAATAAAATAAAATTAAGTTCCTGGTTTTGTAAAAAAAATAAAATGATTATCTTAAGAAAGATGAATGATAATTATAATTTTTGATTATATAAGACTATATATTTTAACGTTAATTAGTTTTTTTTTTTTTAAACTATTTTGATTTTATTAAATAAATTAAATTTTTATAATAGTAAATAATTTTAATATAGTAGACTAATAAATCATACCTTGTATTATCCTGATGCTTGGAAATAAAAAGGTATTATTGTAGTTCCTATTATTTGTCTATAGTAATTTAAGATACTTGAGGAGAATTTGACATATGTTTAGTATCTGAAAAATCCAATAAAAATGTATGTTGTAAAAGTAAAAAAATATATTTAGTCAAAAAAAATTATATTTAAAAGTATATCCTCACCATTATATCTGTATTCCATTAGTCTTTCAAGTTTAACTTTAACAGGCAACAGTTTATACTTCATTTCTTGTTTAACTACCCAATCATTTGATGCTGTAATATCATGATTATTATTGTTCACTACAGAACATTTTTTTTTTTCAATAGTAACTGGTTTTGTGTAGATTTTCTTTGTAGTTGAATTACCATCATTGTTACTTTCATATATAATTGACATGACTTCTTTAAATGTTCTTTGATTTTTAATTTCATTTCCATCACATGTCATACTTGACTCTTCACCATTTATATAATTTTGTTTTTTGGAAAGTTCTAGTTGTTGTTTGATAAACTGATGACCACTACTCATTAGAATTTCCTCTTCAGAAAACCCTGGAAAGCCTATTTCTTCTTTTAACTTAATAATCTGTAAGTTAACCAAATCTCGGTTTTTACATGGACGGAGTTCTTCATCAGTAAAACCCTTGAATCCATCAGTATCAATTATACTTTTAATATTTTCATTGGATAAACTTTTCTTTAAGGCTATTACTAAATGCTTTAATTGCTCATAATTTTTACATGGGACAGCATCTGATTGTGTAAATCCTTTAAAGGTATTAAGTGATTCATTATTTTCCAATGGTTGTGCATTATTAATTTCATTTTCTTTTGGTAAACTAAATGTTCCTTGGTTAGGTGCAGAAATCACATTATCATTTAATTTAAGGTCAATATCACAGATAGGTTCTAGGGTATTTTGTTTACAGTTTATAGTCGTTGGTGCAGTATCAATTATAGAAATGCCAACTTCATTAGAGGAATCTTGTTTTAATTTCTTCACCTTTGATTTATGATTTTTATGATGTTTTTTTCTTTTTTCATGATTTAATAAATTAATTTGGTTTGGTAAAAGTTTTAATTTTAATTTTGGAACTTCTAATTTAATTTGTTCATTAGGTTCTGAAGTTATTTTAATATTTTCAAAAGAAGTTTTTTGTGGAGCATCATCTTTACATGATAATAATGTGCAGCTTTCAGCATCAGCAGAATATTCTTTCTCAGATATTGATTGGTTGATTGGTAGAACACATTTTTCATTAACATTGTCAATAGATTGCAATGACTGTGGTGTTTTTATATCACTAGATTGTGAATGAAAATTTTCTTCTATATCATTATTATCACTGAATTCAACATTGTTTGTTTGAATCAAATTTTCTTGGTTTTCTAATATATTTTCTGAAGTATTTGATGTGGTTTTCAACGTATTATCAGTAAAAGAAGGGTTGCCAATAAATAATATATTTTCTGTTATAACTTCACTATGAGAATTTTCATAAGAAATTTCACTCATTGATAACAAAACATTTGCTGCATCCTGTTCATCGTTTGTCATAAAATCACTCCATTTTGGTTTCTTTTCTTGAATACTAGGATTGCTTTCTGATAGCTTATCATCATTATTTAAAGAATGTTTACGTTTTTTAGAGTGAGTTCTATTAATTTTATGACTTGAGTTGTAAGAAGTTTTAGATATAGATGACTTATCTTTAGATTTATCAACAACATCTTTACTACCATTATCTTTTCTACTACTTTTATGATGGCTAGAGGAAGACTTTGATTTGTCAGATGTAGAACTTTTATTTTTATGAACATTACTTTTTTGCTTTGAAGATCCCCCAGCATTACTTTCATCATCACTTCGATTACCATTTAATGACTTAGGCTCTTTACAAAGACTAGAGGACTTTTCTTTTTTATCTGATCTAGAGTTTTTTCTATCCCTTTTTGGTGTTTTATCACGTTCACTATGGTTTGATTTTTTATCATGTCTATGTTTTTTATCTTTGGAATCACTATGATGCCGGTGATTACTATTTTTTCTATCTTTGGAATGATTACTGTTACTTTTTTTAATATCGTTCTTTTCTTGGCTAGTAGAACGATGGCTGTTAGAATTACGATTTTTAGACTTATGTGTACTAGATTTTTCTTGATTACTAGAATGTTTACTGGAAAAACTATTTTTACTTTTGGGTTTTGTATCATTTGTTTTTAATTTTTCAATATTAGTTGAAATCTTAATATTGTCTGGTTTAGTATTTTTGTGGTTTATAATACCATTTTTATCTATATGCTGTGGTTTTTCTAATATATTTTTGTCATTTTCAAAACCATTTGAAGTATTATCATGGTTTTCTTTTGGAACAAGTTGTATTGGGCTACCAACACTGACTAGATCTGACATACCTGAGATGCTCTCATCATTACTATTTTCATTATCAAGAACTGATAGTGGTTCAAATTCAGGAGACGTTTCATCAATGTTATCCACATTTTCAGTATCTGAGATTAAATCTAAAAAATGTATATAGGTTTTAGAATTTGGTATATAAAAAAAAAAAAAAATTAACTATAGAATTATTAAAAACATTGATAACTTGCCTATTTTAGTATCGGAAATAATGTTTTTTTCAACATCAGAAATATTTTTTGGGTTCGTATTTGATTCTTTTAAACCTAAAAACAATACAATATATTTAGATATATGTAAATTTTATTTTTTTTCATTAACAACCCAACAACATTATTTTTATAAGATGTTTTTTTTTACTTAATACAAGCAAATAATGCATACATATTAACCAACAGAATTTAAACTTATTACTATTTAAACATATTACCATTTTTTTATTATTTAAGCTTATTACTATTTTTTCTTGATATTTGTTATTTCCTCCAGGTTGGGGGTTAAGCGCAGGGCTAACGACCCTGCCTTGTAAAAAAGCTAACGTTCAGGACTCAAACACCAAGTCTCAGACTAGAGTTAACGGAAAAAAGACTAGAAACTGGAAATTGGATCTATTGTGTGGTACTTGGAACGTAAGAACTTTGTACAAAGAAGGAACAACTGTAAATTTAGTAAGAGAAGTTGAAAAATACAAAATGAAGTGTGGTGCACTTCAGGTTAGATGGCAAGATGTTGGTACAACAAAGGTGTCTCAAACAACTATTTTTAATGGAAAATATAAACAGGCTCACAGACTGGGAACGGGATTTCCAGTACATGAATCAATCATTCATACAGTAAAAGAATTTAGAGATGGTAATCCAAGAATATTTACGTTAATACTAACAACAGAAAACTTTGATTTGGTTTTAATTAACGTACATGCTCCTACCGAAGATAAAGATGAAATGGAAAAAGAGCTCTTCTATGCAACATTGGAAGATGTATTTAATACTTTGGTGGGTCAGGTCAGACTGATCCTGGGAGACTTTAACGCAAAAATAAGAAGGGCCTTGTTATAGAAATACCGTTGGAAATCATAGCCTGCATGCAAATTCAAGTGACAATGGATCAAAACTTATTGACTTTGCTGTAGGAAAAGGGCTGGTGTTCAAAAGCACCGTTCCCAAGGAAGGATGTATACAAGTATACTTGGATCTTCTCAGATGGAAAATATAAGAACCAGATAAACCATGTACTAATTAATAGCAGATTTAAGAATGGTGTCCGGAATATAAAGACATTACGGGGAGCTGACCTGAATTCGAATCACCTACTTGTTGGCATATGGATGAGAGTAAAATTAAAAAAACTTAATAAATGACGTGTGTTAAATACAGGACGGTTTGATATTGACAAACTGGAGGACCAATCAATAAACCATCAATTTAGTAACAAAATTAAGAAAATTCTACAAGAAAAGGAAGTAGTAGCCGACGCGGATGTGGATAGGAACTGGGAGCAAATAAGAAGCGCCATTAATAATGTAATGGCAACGATTTTAGGAAAGAAAAACTTAAAAACCAAACCTTGGTTTAACAGAGTTTGCGAAGAAGCCATTGAAAGAAGAGTGGCAAGAATGAATTGGCTAAATGACACAAATAATGATACGCATTATTTCGGCAGGTACAAAACTCGCCTAAGAGAAGCGAGCAACATATTGAGGTGTGAAAAAAAGAAATACCTCCAGGACATGTTGGAAAAAGCAGAGCTCGACTATAAATCGCATAAAACCAGAGACATGTACAAGCAGATAAATCGATTCGCAGGAGGATATAAAAAGAAAGAGAGGTTCTTAAAAAATTATGATGGGATATTAATAACCTCGAGCGAGGAGATATTCAAAATATGGGGTAAGTACTTTGATAAAGTATTAAATTGTGACGAGCCGGACGAAGTCTTCAGTTTCGACCTAAAATCTTGGAATAAACAAGATTGCCCAGAACAACGCTGGAAGAGATAAAGCTACATATAAAATGGCTTAAAAATCACAAGTCACCTAGTGAGGATGAAGTTCAAGATAAACTACTAAAATATGGAGGAAAAGAACTACTGGCTAAGATAGGGAAACTGATAAACCAGATCTGGAAATTTGAAAAAATACCAGAGGAATGGAAAACAGCTATGATATGGCCGATCCATAAAAAAGGAAGCAGGCAAGATTGTAATAATTATCGAGGCATAGCTCTTTTAAATGTGACATATAAAATATTCTCTAACTGTGTCTTATCAAAATTAAAAGAAAAATCGGAGGAAATTATTGGCGACTACCAGGGAGGTTTTAGACCAGGAAGATAAACAATGGATGAAATATTTGTTCTTCGGCAGATATTCCAAAAGACTTGGGAATTCGATAAAGAAATCCATATCCTTTTTATTGATTTCAGGAAAGCATATGACAGTATTCATCGAACATTTTTAATTAAAATTATAAGAGAATTTAACTTCCCACAAAAATTGATAAAGTTAGTGGAGATAAGTATTATGGAGACATTCATTAAAGTCAAAGTTGGAAGTAGCCAAACGGAGCCAATATTAGTAAAGTCAGGTCTGAGACAGGGCGACTCAATGTTACTGGTGTTATTTAATATAGTGTTAGAGAAAGTTATTAGAGCAATGAAAGTTAGACCCGACAAAGGAGTGAAGCTGCAGGACTCATCAATAGGCCTATTGGCGTACGCGGACGATTTAGTATTAATGGAAGAATCACCAAATGTACTGAAATCACTGTTCGACCGTCTACAAAGATTGGCAGCGAAAGTAGGACTACAGATAAACGAAACTAAAACGGAGTATATAGTCGTTGGCAGACGAGAAACTGCGGGTGCGTACCCATCCTTGAATGTAAGAAACTATGTTTTCAACAGAGCCAAGCAGTTTAAGTACTTAGGGTCAGTCATAACTGAAAAGAATAGCCAAGGAAATATCAGCAAGGATACTTGCTGGCAATAGGACTTACTATGGACTAGCAAAACTGCTAGGATCGATATCGTTATCGAGGGAGCTTAAGATACAGCTATATATGACATTACTACGCCCAAGCTGATAGTATAGGAAAAAAAAGTTCTAAGGAAGATTTATGGTCCAATGAAAGATAGCAATAGCAATGAGTAGAGGATAAGAATGAATAATGAACTAGGATTTCTTTTCCAGAAGTCAAATATATTAGAGACAATAAGGAGTAGAAGACTAAAGTGGGCTGGACATGCTTGGCGTAGTTAGAATCCCTTGCTACGTATAGTGTTAGAGAAAGATCTAGCTGGGAAGAGACCTTTGGGAAGACCTCATATGAAGTGGGAAGATCTGGTTAAAAAAGATGTAAGTGTCTTAGGTGGAGAATCAGATTGGAAAGAACGAGCATCCGACAGAGATGGCTGGAGGGAAGGATGTTTGATGGGATGGCCCTAGGGGCTGTTTACCCAAAAAAGAAGAATTACTATTTTTCCTTAATATTTGTTCTCATATTTAAAATATCAAGGCATAAATAATGATGATTATCAATTTAATGTCAAGAGTTTTAAGATTATAATTTAACAACATAAAATTTAAAATTTATCAAACAAGTACCTACATACTTACTTTTGATATTTTCCCATTTTTTTTTAAGTAATATATAAAATTATCAAGCTATTTTTAGCTAATACCAATTTTTTTCATTTTTTCTTGGTGTTAATTTTACTAAGACCGATATTTCATTATAATGGCAGCACAATGAGTGTGGTCTACCGGTACATTCAGCACACGAGTAAAGTATATGAAGCATCAAACTCAATTCTTCCTTGCTGCTAGGAGAGCTATATCATCTGCAAAGCAGATGAAATGAAACTGTTTCCCATTTATTGATATTCCTCTGGAGTGGTTTTTCATTTCATCTATTACCTGTTCAATAAACAAATTAAACAAATATGGAGACAAAGGGCAATTTTGCCTTACTCTTTGACAAATTTTCACTTCTCTCTCGCTTCCATTTATATCTATTTCAGTGGTTTGATTTTTATACAAGTTCAATATTAAGCGCTAGTCTTTTCAACTAATTCCAGCTCTCCTTAGAGTGTTAAATAGAAATTTCCACTCTACCTTGTCAAATGCTTTTTCCAGGTCTATGAATGCTATAAGTTGTTCTGTTCACGTCAACTCTCCTTTCCAGTAGCTGTCTCAAGGCTATGATAACTTCTCGCATTCCTTTACCCTTCCTAAAACCCAATTGGTCTTTGTCAAGTCTTTCTTCCACTTTGTATTTCAATCTGTTCTTTATAATGTTCATAATTATCTTTGACGAGTGAGATAAGATAGCGATAGTTCTGTAGTTTGAGCAATCAGTAGCATTCCCTTTCTTGGGTAGGGTGATAGTTTTACTTTTTATGAAATATTTTGGAATTGAGTCTTCCTCATAGCATTTCTTGATAATTTCAAATAAGTTTTCACCTGTTTTTTCGTCTAGGTTTTTCAGTATTTCTGAAGGTATATCATCAAATCCAGTTGATTTTTTATCACTCAAATCTCTAACTGCTCGGTTACACTCATCCTTAGTAATTCCTTGGCCCTTTAATAACTGGATTTACTTGTTTGTTCTCAATATATTCTTCTTGCTTATTGTTAATGTTTTATCCTAAGTTTTATCCATGTTTCTCCTATGTATAGATCTTTGAGGTATTCTTTCCATCTGTTTGCAACCTCATCATTATCGAACAAAACATCCATTGCCAGCTTTTAAACAAAGATACATTTCTTAAAATATACTACAGTTTTTATTATTTATGTTGACTGATTATTGTTAAAATAATATCTCATCAATTTCCACGTCTGATTCATCTTCATTGTCTCTAGTCATGAATGTATAAATATTATTTGGTCTTTCCTTGGTTTATTTACCTCATTTATTAGCATACTTTCATTAGCTTGATATACTATTTGCACTATCTTGTTTTATATTGCTAATAATAATTGGATTGTCTGCAAGGGGGAAAATTTTCATTTACTCCAATTGCCTATATTTGCGGTAATCTTCTTATCATACTTTTGAACGTTAAATTTAAATTAATCCCGTCTTGGTTCTTTAAAAACTTTAAAAAAAAAATCTGATTGTACTGTCAATACTACAATCACATATTTTATTTAATTTTTATACAGTTTTATAAAGTTTATGACTTAAATTGGGTTACTTTAACCTGTTTTGTATATAATTATATTTTCATATGTTTGCTTGAAATCCACAAACCCTAGATTAATATTCTTATCACCATAATGTTTACTAAGAACTAGTTATACTGTAAATATTTGATTTGCTGTTAACTTCTCTTTTTTTGAGCTACATTAGTTGTTTCTAGTTATACATTCAGATAATTCTTATATTCTTCTTAAGAGGAACATAAATAAAAATTATACCCCATATCTAAAAGATATACAATACGCAATATTTTCTCATATCATATTATTATAAATATTATTTTAGTCAATTTTTAAAACATTCTACATATTAAAAAATGTTTGGATCTCATATGATTTTAAAAATTAGTATCTAATACTAAATGAGGGTATAATAGAATATTTTACAAAATTATAATAATGAAATAAAATAGATTAGACATACCATTAACTTCAGTTAGAGGGTCTTCATTTTTGATTCCTAAGTATTCATTCACGGCAATTTCTATTTTAGGTTCAAAAACATTAACCATTCTGGGTGCCAATACTTGATTGAGTATTCTATCAGTGCCTTCTTCAATATCATGAGCTTCACGTCTTAATTAATTTAAAAATAACAAGTAAAAATATTACATCACTATTAAATATGAATGGATTTATATATATAATATACATATTCATAATTATCAGTTATCATCAATTATATGATACATACCCATCAAATAAATGTTTCTTTAATCTCTCACGGACAATGTTCTTATTCAATTCAGGAGTATATTTAATTTTACTCAAAAATTTGATGACATTTGATTCAATTCGCTGTTTCAAATTCAGAAAAGTTGGCTGCAACAATGAATAAATTCATTATAATAATGTTTAATACAATATAAGGAAAATATAGATAAAATTGTTATATGTAGTAATTTTCATTTAATGTATGTTATTACAGTTAAAGGGCTCTAACTTAAGGTCGTTCTGTGTTTACAAAAGCGAAGAGAAAATTAACTAAGAAATTTTGATCAGTGGTAGAGACATCCAAGTAGCTAGTAATCTGTAAGTCGATCAAGTAAATGTTTCACGAAACGGGCCGTCAAACAACTAGCAGTTAATCCTGGACGGTGCATGAAAAATAACTAATACGTCCGCAAAAAACCGACGTTCTCATTTACCTTGGCGTCAATATCGGTAACACAATATCTACGAAATTCGTCGAACGTGCCATTAGACTTCAACTTCTCCAGCAGCATGAACACCGTATCGTCGACACCCATCAGGTTGTTTTTGGGGTCCATCGCAAGAGGACAACGTACACTTGAACTACTTGATGAACAACGATTTACATTTCTGTCGAACAACACAAATAGATAACTCAATCTGTGCTCTGCGACAGATAATATTCTAAGAGTTTCTTTTTTTTAATCACGGCCGCTGACGATCCGACCGATTTCCTTTCAGTGATTGTACGTGTTTTTGATGTGATAACCGTCTCGCCGTGAAACATTATCATGGAAAGAAAACTTGCAATATCATCGCGGAACCCCATAGTCCTATAAGCGTCTATAGCTATGTATGCGGAACCCAGGCAGAAAATTAATTTACATTACATTTCAAAGATTTAATTTTATTATAAAATAATATGTCTACGTAAACAATATTAAGGGTAAAAAACATTAAGGTACATGGATCTATAATTTATGCTATATGTAAAAAAAAACAAGTAAACAACATATGCATTGAAAACTTCACGTTTATTATTTGTATTGGTAATGTCCTAAGTCAAAAATAATATAATAATTTTTAATTGTAAAGCTAACATGATATAAAACAAGAACATAACAAAAATTCATAAATACTAATGTCAAAATTTTTTTTTTTTTAACAATTAAAATGTAATAAAATATTTTGATTATTATGTAATTAGCTACTTCCATTAGATAAAAAATCTTCATCTTTAGAGTCGGACATCATTTCATTTGATTGTAAAAATGTAGAAAATTTCTTCTCTAACCTTAAAAGTTCTAAGTATAGGTGGGAAGGCGCACAATCCAATATTCTACAACACTGATGCATGAACCAAAGAAATGAGTGAGGTAATTTTTTTTTTAAAACCATATCTATTTTAACAATATCAGCTCTTAGTAAAAAAAATGTACTCAAATGTATGTACCAATAATAAAGGCCTGTTCCTAAATATATTGTATTTGGTTTTTCTTTATAAGAGGTATTTAAAGTTTCCGTCTGTTGAGTCTTGTTAGGTATATGGTTAGTTAAAAACACTTTGACTTCAGTATTATTTGGTACAGGTATTTTCGTATCAGGATCTTCATTTTTTTCTTTTACATAATATAATGGTTTATTACTGTTGATTTCTATTGGTATATCATACTTATTGGCTAAATCATAAATCCTGCGAAAAAAAAATTATATTATTTTCGAATAAAAATAGACTAAATTTTTAATACATAATAATTTCATTTCAAAATTTAATTTTTTTTTTTATATACTTATATTTGTTTAAATATAATAATTTTACAAATTACATTATTAGTATTTCATAAGAATATCATACTCAGAAACCATATTTTGTAATTTTGAATGTTAATATCTGATAAATATATCATATTAAGTTTTAATGTTTTATTTATAATAAAGGATATGGCTGTTGTGTTTAAATACACAGTCACCAATTCGAATAGCTTTGCAAATCTCAAGAGAAGAAACCTCAAATACCTTTTTTTAAAAACTAGTTATGTTAAATTTGACCAAAGAATAATTGTTAAGACAAAAATAGTTCAAATGTTGATATCTCAACATAAAAGACCACCTACATTTAAGAAAATATTAAACAATTTATAGCAAAATAAAGATTTACACTTTTTTTTCCAATTAGCAATACATATATACTATAAATGATGTTATCAATATCAACTCTAGTCTTCAATTTTTCAATACTATTGTGCACCACTGAAAATTTCTATACTATGTATAAGTAATATTGAATATTGATAGCTATTAATATATCATTACATAAATACCTTTCTTCATTTGTTAAATATAAAATATCAGTTTGAGTGAAATCATTTTCTAATGTAGTTCTTGTAACAACACTTAATTGCACTGAATAATAATCTAGTATCCATTTTAAAGTTGATGTTAATGGTTTAGTTGAGGCAGGGATACCTCTATAACTTTCAGTTCTTCCAATATCTGGCAATGATTTGAATAAACATTCAGTGTTTTCTCTAAATTTCTTATTAAATATCTCTATTCAACATAAAAATATTAAAATTAAATGATGAAGTATAAAGTGTATATAATATTAATTTACTGTTTTTTAAGGGTAAAGTTGACTTTATAATGTTCCAATTGTTGATAAATAATTTAGTGTTGTGTATTTTATTTTCATATAGTTTTGTATGCAACACAGAATTGTAGTCAGAAACTACAGTATTTCTACATTCAATATATTTCACATATTCATTCCAGCTAAACAGTTTTTGATGTTCATTATTTAATCTAAAATAAAATGTAATATTAAAATACCAATTCAAAAATAGATACTTCAGACAATGAATATTATTTTTACTTTCAAAATAACTTAACTTCAGCAATTAAGAATATTAATTTAAAAAGAAAAATAAGTTGAATTGGGGAATTTTATCTACTTTTGTAATAGAATTGTAATGAAATACTAAAATTAAATTAATGGGAAATAATGAAATAATTTTATGTTTTTCACATTGTAAAATCTGTATATTTATGATTTAAAAACAAATATGGCAACACATAAAATTTTGATGTATCATTTAGTTTAACAACTAATTAGTATTAGCTTATTATTGTTTGACTATAGCTTCTAAAATATGTACTTTAATCTCTTATCATATTAAATATACTAATAAAGCAGAACTATAAAAGACTAGAATATAAAATAGTTTATCTAGCATCCTGCATCATTATATCTAAATGTTAAAAATTAAAATGATCAGTTAAACTAATAAAATTTAAGATAAAGTATGCAAAATATTGTCAATAAGATTCCAAATATTTAGAAATTTTAATTGTTAGATAGATAAATCAAAATGTATACATAGTAAGCAACATTTTTAAAATTTTGTAATAGCTCATTTCTAGTAAATTTTTTTTCCTTATAACTCATTAAAAAAAAATAAAAATAAAAAAAATGTAGTTAGAAAATATGTTTGCTGCTTTCAATTAAGAAATTATGATTTAAAAAAATTAAACAATTACATACCGATTCACTTTTTCAGCAAAGTCTGAAGATAAGTTTTCTGCATTACCATCAAGACAAAATAAAAACTTAGCAGCAAAAAGTAAATAAGCCATGACTTTGATTTCAATGTCAGGTAATACATGAGTAAAATGTAGGCTAGGAGGAGATATTGATATAAGTTTACAAACAATGTTTGTAAAATCACCTAGTTGTAAACAGAAAAAAATCATAAAAAAATACAATTACTAAAAGAGTAGTAATTACTAGGCAGTTGTAGTTCATCACAAAATCGTTTAGCCATTTTTTTAAAATCAATATTGGGTAGTTGGTCAATTTTTAAAAGAAACATTATCATAGTAATTTCTTGATTTAATTTATTTCTTGATGACATTAGCATAATTTTTCGCAAATTGATACCATGAACTACATTTTCTGGTAAAAATAAATTTATATGATTTATATGAAAATGTCCTTCATGTATCCACCTATTAATAAAATTAATTATAAGTACTTAAGAATTACAAATTGTAAATTATATCTTAGGTACTTTAATATACTTTATCCCAAATAAGAGTGCATCATGGTACTGCGAATTAAGTATTGACAATTTAATATGGCAATAAATAATAATATATATATATACATATATAATAAATGAAAATATTTAATATAGTTGAATTGTTGATGTTCATGGTCTAGAGCAGTGGTGTGCAACTCCTAAAGGGGTTGCCAAATTTTATTAGGGGTTGCCAATAATTTAACATCAAATTAAAAAGTTATATATTATTTTATATTTATGAAACTCTAATTTTGTATTTATATAAATATAACAATTTAATTTATATGAATACATATATTATTGTTATTATTATTTTAATCAGTATTCCCCATAGAATGTAGATAAAAAAATAATATGCATTTTAATTTTAATGTGATCCTTTAGGTTGTATGATAAAACTTAATTTTTAAAATCTGGATCCACAGAAAATAAATAAACTTATAGTCTGAACTCACAAAAAGTCTATTAAGATATTTATTTTTTATTTTTAATGAACGTGTATAATAAAAAAAATCTTTTCTGCAAACAATGTTTTTAATCAAATATTTCATAAAAATGTATTAATTCAAAAATATTAATTTTTAAATTTTTCGCCATAGTTCCTTTTTTCCTGAGTACCCTCTCGTACATTTTTGAATACTATGAGGGTTAAGCGTATCCCGTTTTGAAATGTTGATCTAGAGTAAGTATTTTTTTTATTTGTTTAAATAATGTTCCTTATCAAAATTACTAAAAATTGGTGTAAAGAAAAAATATATTCTAGGTTCTATATTAAAATACAGGTTCATACGATAATCTTCTCATAAAAATTATTATAAATATAAATATATAACTACAACTGTTAAGAAGAAATACATTCAATTTGCTTACTCCCAAGCTATGAATGTTAACATTAAAACATTCTATTTAAATGCTTTTCGATTTCATCCAAATAAAGTGTTTGAAATTTAAAAGCATATTTAAGTACACATCGTTTTTCTCACTAACAAAATAGATTGTCAAAATTTGGCGCTCCAGCCACTATAATTAATTATGCCCCTCTGTACAGAAAATGAACACTCTTATTTGTAATAGAATACAATTAATATGATAGAAAATTAGTAAAAAGTTAAAAATATAGTTTACCTTAAAATATCAGATAAATAAATATCATCATTGTTGATGATAGTGGCTAATCTAATAATAGATATTAATTTTTTTATAGTAATCATATTTTTTTTTTCTTTATGTTTTAACCTTTTCCAACATTTTCGACCAGATTGAAAAATTTTTGTCGATTCCTCAAAAGTTAGGTCTTTACTAATGGAAGGCATTGCCTTGAGAGATTTTTGTACATTTTTTGCCATTTTAATACTAAAATTTAAAGTTAATAATCTAATTTAAGTACTTCAAATAAAAATAACAATTTGATATTTTATACTTAATTTTTCTTGAATTTTTTCTTCTTTGCAACACATTAACATCATTTGAAAATCCTATTGAGTCGTTATTAATATCAGTCTTGGTGTGGTCTAGTTTACGTAACTTGTGAGTAACCTGTACAATTGTTTTATAATTAAAATCAAAGTTTTAAACTAATTATAAAAATATGATTTACTCTAATCTGTTTCTGACTAGCTGTTAAAATTGAACTAGCATTACAGTTAAAAGATGTAAATAACTTTTTTCTTTTTGATCTACTAGTTTTCTGTTTTCCTTTCCAAATTCCAGTCTTGGAGTATAATAATTTTTTTCTTATATTTGCAATGTCATATAAAATTTCACCATCGCTAAAAATATTTTTTATGTTTAGAAAGTATCTAATGAGTTTAATCGGAATTAAAATAATTATCAATAATTAGTACTACCTACACAAATAATTGTCGGTTCTTTTATTTTGTTTATATATATATGTATATATATATGTTATCGGTAATATGGATGATTCAGGTATTTTGCAAAATGCTGACCCATTTTATGCAATTTAAATAAAACAAATGATTTTCAATATTATTATATTATTAAATTATTTTCAATATTATTTATTTTATAAAACACCTAGGCATTATGCAAAACACTAATTTTTTTTTAGGCAAAGTACAAAACATTTTATTATATGAAGATTCTTATAATAATTATATATTATTACTCATATTACAGACAAAATTTAATTTTTATCTATTATTATGTTATTACTATTATAGAAATATTTTAATTAAACTACTAGTTACTTATTATAACATGTTGTAGAAAAGTGATATTTAGAAGTATGTACACAAAATGTTATTTTTAGGGCAAATACACTTTTTATTTTGACACTTGGACTTACAAACACATTTTAAAAATCCTTGGCCAATTCTTGTGGATTGAATTTTTATCAATTCATTATATTGTTCATCAGATAAAAAACTATTATTAGTGGCCAAATTTTTAAAAAAAATTTTGTAGTTTGTTATAAAAATTTGATTTCTTATAAATCGTATCCATAGTTGCAACACCATAACGAGACACGAAAATGATAAGAAAAATGACGATATAGATTGAATGAAATTATTAGTACGTTCAATATTGTACCTTAGATTTATTATTTTAGTAGTAAAAGAATCTTAATATTTATTGCATTAAATTTTGCACACACATTTATGATAAACGGTAAGTAAAGTTGTTGGTAATAGACGATGCCCAATTTTGTTTATTTTCATCATATTGCCTTCTCCACGTTTGGCATTATACATAATACCTAGATAAAGCTCGTATTATGTATATTGCCAAGTGATTTTTGGCATTTTATATAATGCCAAGGCATTTTGCAAAATACCGGATTATTCTTATAGCCGGTAACATACATATATATTCAGTGATTCTTTATTTTAAATTATTCATAAAATAATACTATAATTAAATATCAACATTTAGCATTAAGTAATTATATACAATTTTATTGGTAGTTGTCTAAATATTTTAAAATCATCCAAATTTTTATCCTATAAGATTTTAACGGGCAAGAACAAAAATATAATATGCTTCTAATTATAAATGATTTTTCATCTTACATGTTATTAAATGAAGTATTTAATTTTGGAAGCTTCCTAAATTTTTTTGAAGTAAATGCTGCCTCAATGCACTGCAAATATCGAACCCATAATTGTAACACTATAACTTTTAAACTAGGATTAGCACCAAGTTCAATCATTTCATTGGTAAGTCCTATAAGAATTAAATTGAAACATTCCCAAGATAATAATTTCTTCTTTTTTTCCAATTGAGATCCAACTGTAATTTCATGATCTTTATCAATCATTTTGTCATGTTTACCATACATAATATTATCATTAAAATTGATTAGTTCTTCTCTAAAATTCTGGAAAAAAAAAGAGATTAAATAATATATAATAAAAACACAAAAAAAGTTAATTTGAACAATATATAATAAATAAATTATTATATTTAAATCATACAACAAAGAGTAAATATGTAAAATGCCAATACAATTATTTTTTAAATAAAAAAATTTTTTTCTATGAAAAACAATTGTAATAATTATGATTATTCAATACTGAATGAGGGAAATATTCACCAAAAAAATATCAATAAGTTAATTAAGTTTTTGTTAACATAAAGTGATAAATTAAATTTCATGTAGGATATCTTTATTAAATTATACATAATGAATTTGGGTAATTTTATATAGATACCTATATAGGTTATAATTATCCCAATAACTTATTATGTTTTTATAATTAATATATAAAATATAAAAAACAATAAATACGTAAATTAACAAGAATTCAAAAAATACTTACTTGGGATTGTATCCCACACTCGTTGCATATAAACACTCCATCAGCTATTGTGAAATCATGGCCACCGCAAACAAAGCATTCATTATTTGACTCCATTTTCGCAGTTAATGGAAGGAATAAATCTAACACTCGTCCACCGGATGTATAATTTTAAAATTGGCGGAAGAACGTTAGAGGTTTTTCAAATTTGAAAATAAAAAATAGAGCACGCTTGTTTATTGATTTTCGGTTAGGTGATAACAGTTATCAACAATATGATATATTGATATATAATGATATATATATGTATAATATATATTTTATATGACATTGCAAATATAAGAAAAAAATTATTATATTCCAAGACTGGAATTTGGAAAGGAAAACAGAAAACTAGTAAATCAAAAAGTAAAAAGTAATTTACATCTTTTAGCTGTAATGCTAGTTCAATCTTAACAGCTAGTCAGAAACAGATTAGAGTAAATCATATTTATATAATTAGTTAAAAACTTTCGATTTTAATTATAAAACAAAAGTTATATTTAAGAACATGGTTCTTCAATCTTTCAATAGGTACTGTTATAAACATTGGCGCTGGAACAATTTTTGAAGCGTGAGGGCTGTGCACCACTACTAATACAGATGAAGGTAAAGATTTTCCCGTTTTAAGGGAACAATTTAAGGCTCGTATTAAATAAAGGAAATAGTAGAAAATAAAGTCTTTAATAAAAAAAAAAAAAAAATTTCAACTTATTTTAATTTTGATATGGTTACTTACCAATTTTAATAGTATATACGCACAAATATAATACAAATAAAAATGAATAAAAATTTAATTCAACAATTCAAATTTTTCCGAAAACTTATTTTCACTCCGCTGTCCGACTTACGAGTGTATATTCTTTTAAAATGTCATTCAAAAAGATTTCGTTAAGTATATTTTGATTTAGATGTATTATCAGCAAATGAGTTAAACGCTTTTAGCTCGTAGTGGAATGCTAATAGGTTTTTAAATGCCTCAACCCACTAAATGTTCTCTCTGGTGTTGCTGAGGTAATAGGTAGGTAGGTATATTCTAAAATCAATGCTAGTGTCATCAGCCATAATAGCCATAAATGGACTTTCACAAATATAAAGTTTGATTTTACGTAAGATAAAATGTGCCATTATTCGAGTACATCATTCTGAATATCTTCAATTAGCTAATTATTTCATTTTTCAAGCCATAACTTCAAAGCAGGATTTTCAATTGAACGTTCTTGTAATAAATAAAGTTTCCAGAATCTCATGAACCATTACAGATAGCTAAGCCACTACGTGCTAAATACTGAATCGAATTTACTACTACTTTAAATACTTTACGAGCTTCTTCTTGTTCATTTACTGACTGTTCTGTTAGTAAAGAAATAACAGGACGAACGTTTTTACGAAGTTGAAAAAACACTATTGAAGATCGATGATTTTCGTTTTTTTCGTGAATAGAAAACCTTTTAATTGCTTTTTTCCAATTTTGAAAACCAATGTCAATAAATGCATCTTGTGAATGTAATGTGGTTATGCTTTTTTTGGTTTGACAAGTTAAAGCACAAGGGTAACATAAAACCATATTTTTTTCACTTACATAATGAAGCCAGGAATATTTGACAAACCATTTCGATTGACAAGACCATTTTCCATTTGTTTTAGGGAAAATGAACTCTTTTTTTTTGGTGTAAATTGTTCAATCAAATTTAAATTTATTATTGACACAGGATTGTGTTATTTATTGGAATGGGTGGCAGCAGGGACAGCGAGAACTCCTGAAAGCCCCGGGGCTGCGGAGGTTCCGGGACCCCTTTTTTTTTGCGATTGTTTGATAAAAACCACTTGTACATGCTTTGGTACAGCAAAAACATTTTTTACAAGGCCGAAACGACGGGCCCTCTCGGATGTACGGGCCTCGGGGCTCTAGCCCTTCCTGCCCCACCCTCTCTCCGCCCCTGGGTGGCAGTCAGGGTTGGACTATCTCTATAGCACGGTCCGGGCAAAATAATTTCGAACGGTCTCAATGGAACTTCATAAGTAGGTACCTACCTAATAAAATGTTTGTTGACTGAAAATGTATCTTCGTAACTCAAAAAACAATATATATATACAATATATATATATAGGTACATTTGAATATTTTCTGATTTAACGTTATATCTTAAAGAAATCAAGTATACGCATAATACTTGTATACATAGCCGTCCCAAGGGGGGGCAAATGGGGAAGTGCCCCAGGGCGTACATAGTATTACGAATTTAGGGGGCGACATAAAAATGAATGATAATCAGAAAAATTGGGTTTTTTATTATAGATAGGTAAATTAATACAATATATAATAAGTAGAAATGTAAATCAAAATTTAATTAAATTTTTTATCTTTTACTGATAGTTTATTTTATTCTTTGAATTATTATCTATAATATAATTTTATGAATTAATACATTTATAAAGAAAAACTAATATGAACTTCTGTTAATAACTTAAAAAAATTGAGACAAAAACAAAAATGAGGGAATTTTTTTTACTAAACATAAATTAACTCTGTTTTTCAGTCAATATAAATAATATTTATGGTAAATTCTAAATAAGTTTTATATTATTATGAGTATGAGCCAATAATAGCACCAAAACTTCGAAAAATATGTTAAAATTCTAAAATACTTTAAATATACAAAAAATATCAAAATAAAATTTCATTTTTAGAGTCCCTGATGCATAAAACTGATTTATATTTCACTATGTTATTTTTATCTGCATTCTTTAACAATTAGCAAATGCTATAAAATTTGAATCTTTAATAATATTTATTATTAATGAATATTATTATAATATTATGGGCACATCCCTAGCACTATTTACTTTTAACCAATGCAGGTTATACCTACCTTTTTCCATCCACTTGAATAATACACCTGATCAATATAAACAAATGTATTTATTAGTAAGATGTTCCTGGGCACCCATGATCAATTGGAGTACAAAAATTATTTTCCGACCAAATAAAACATTTATAAAAATAATATACTTATAGTCATTATTTTTAGTTTAAACTTTAAAATAATGAATTTAAAAAATAACAAATGAAATTTCTAGAGCTCAAAATCCATTGGCTTTAAAATAATAATGAAAGGAAATAAGAAAGGGTCCTCAGACGCCTGAAGCCATATAATTATTTAACAACTAATAAAACAAAAATCTAATTTAGATAGTTGATTATTTATAAAAATTAAGAACTGAGTGAGAGACAATTAAAGATTTAAATTATTTCAAAATATTATTTACATTACGGAAAATATTAAACTAGTTTTGGTTTTAAAAATCTAATATTATCTATGATAATATCTATATTAATAATTTTATCAATCTTATTTACATTAATTAATATATATTTTTAAATGTTAATTAAGAATCTATACAAAGTACATATTCAAAAAATTACCAATAATGGAAATTCCATAAATAATTTTCAAAATTCGACAACTGTTTTGTATAAATGTACAATCAATTTTGATCAGAATATAAAATAATAAAAAAGCTATTCATGCGATATAATAATGACATGCAGAATTTCTGCATTGCAAAAGAAAATATTACTTTAACGTTTACCATATATCTAAAAATTATTAAAATTAAAATGTTATTTAAAGGGTACCACAAATAATGAAAATAGGTATTAAAAAATAAAATGTATTAAAATATATTGTTACAGTTTATAAAAGTACACTTACAATTATAAAATATAATATAAAATAATATAATATAATATGTATATAAAATAATAATAATATAGATGGTATCAAGAGGTTAGGAAGCATATCTATAGTAATACGTAAAAATGAGAATACCTAAAACTTAAAATAAATGTACATATCAAATATTTTATGACATATGCTGGTAATAGGTACATATGTGTACAAGCATTAAAATTAAAAAAAAAATAAAAAACATTATTATGTTTGTAAAAAAATTAATATTGTTTTATATAATACATTTCTCACGTTACAAATAAATAAAACCATTGACTTATCTATTAGTAGTATGTGTTTTTCACCAATCGTTAGACGTATGATGATTATAATATATTCCTTAATTCGAACGGGTATTCTAACACGGAATCATTCTGAAGGATAGACCTGCTTCTAAGGCTATTGATTTCGGAGGACACAATTTTAGTCTGGAAAAAAATATACTTACATAATAAATATAAGTTTTACATCATGTACCTGTATTGGTTTACTATATGCTCAAAACCTAATCACGGTGATTTAAATTTTAAATTAAAAAGTAAATGTTTTGAAATTTTGATGATATTAAACGATTGCTTCTTGCTATCTCGTTTACAACAATCTTTATTATCTTAATATTGACAAATGGTAAAATTTAATTTTTCTAATGGGTCAAATAATTCTATAACTGGACTGATGAAATTATAAAAAACCAGAGCTTGCAAAAGTTATTATAACGTTATGATTATAAAATTATAACTAAAAAAAAAAAAAAACGATTAAAATTTGGAAACAAAATGATAACGAAAACAATAAACAAAAAATGTAGAATTACATTAACCAGAAAATAACGCAAAACAAAATAATTCAAAACAGATTTATATTGAAGGAAACGGTGTATAAAATAATTATAGGAAACATGAGTAGAAAGATATCGAATCCCGTACAGTAGATGCACTTTGAGTATAATGTGAATAATAATGAGAGTATTGCCAAATACCCGAATTCACTTATCCAAAATGGACAGGAAATCATGCCGGGAATGAAAAACACACCCAAGATAGGATTCGAGGCAAAAAAAAATATTTTGTAAATGCTATTTTATAATAAAAAAAAATTACTCTTCTATGACATACGTATGATATGATACATCGTATCACTAGGGCAGAGAACTTGTAGCATTTACATATATGTTTTGCAGTTACAAAAATAGCAGAGTATGGAACAAATTCGTTTGATGCTTTAACAAAATTAGTTTTGAAATTGTATTTTACATATAAATGCATATTTTGAGTATTTTTTGTTTTTAAAGCTTATTTAATACTTTTATACATAATTTTATACTTTTTGAGACATATTTAATTTAAATCAATTTTTTTCACTCCATCGTTTTTGTTTCAAACAATAAACTAAAAACGTTTGTATAAAAATGTATTAATTTTTAATTTTTCTCGCCTAATAGGGTTTATGACTGTTCGGGACACAAGTTTTTTTTAAAAGTTCTTGCGGAATGCCGATAAGACAATAATATTATTTTGCTATAATTAATTTTATTAATAGATGGATAGTTATTTATAATACCGCATCATCGTCCCGGTGAGCTAAACGCATATTTAATTGAGAAAATTAAGAAAAATATATTTTATTTACTTGGCAATGGCATAATAAATATTGATATTAGATAATTGTTTTAATTTATTTTAAATGCTATTAATTGTATTAATAATTTGAAATTAAATTGCTGAACATTTTTTTTTAAGTGCATATTATAGGGTTTTTAAATGCATAAGTGCTTGCATATTATTTTGATTTTTTCGAGCAACAAGTCCTCTGCCCTACATATCACTAATTACGTCATTGTCTAGTTAAAGGTATATTTAGTTGAAATTAATATTTTTCATCGTGTTATTACTTTTGGCCGCCGTTGAAAGTCTCAATGATCAAAGATTCGACGTAGATAACCGGTGCTTCGAATCTCCAAGTCAATATATTCATCGTGGTCGAATGGTTCCACAGCAACAACACTGATTTTATGATACCTACGTTAATAGACCCGAACACTTTACGGTGAACACTGCCAGGTTTGTAATGTTGTTCTCTGTTTGGAAATATTATAGAAACGAAACCATTAATATCAGTTTATACATAACTGCTGTGTATTTAGGCACATGATTAGATGACAAGAAAATAAAGAGAACGAAAATATATCATAATCACTTTCACTTGTGTCATTTTTTGATAGTTTTATTTTAATTTTAATTATGATTTATACAATCTACATTGGTAGATATAATAAATACAATCGATAATATTTTTGTTTATATGTAAATTGAATTTTTTTTAACATGAAAAAAAGAGGAATTCCAGTAGTTATCACTCTATTTAAATATAAATATATAATTCTTTTTTATTACTATTTAATTATTTAATTCGGCCGAGACACCATTTTCACTTTAGATATCGAATTAGGACATTAGGGATCAATGTATGAAAAAGTTGATACCAAAAGATATGTATGGTATAAAAGTCTAAAATGATACTTTTTGTAGAATGATTTTGCGGATTCAGCTGTAGTAGTTAATTTTAGATTTTTATTGAAAGTATAATTTAAAGCGTGGAATAAAGCTTTTGTAATAATTCTTAATATTTTTGATTGAATTGTTTCTATTAATATTTATTTTTTGTAGTAATAATGAAATTCGTAAGTTACTAGAGGTTAATTTTCAAAAAAGAAAAGATTAACAAAATTCGAATTAATTCAACGAACTCGTGTAGTATTTGAGACTCTTTTTATTAAATATAACACTCGTAGACTCAAAATTATTATAAAATTATTAATGAATATTATGTTTTTGAAAGAATATTGTATATGAGGTTTTGCGAAATACTCACTCGAATACGTTCAAAAGCTTCGATTTGGTATTGGTACCTTCGAGCTGCACTAAGAAATGGCCAACTTCTCCACCGTGGTCTTTACTCGCTTGTGAATTGGCTAAATTCAACGTAGCTCGGTACAAATACGCTGAAAACAATAAGAATTATTCGATTAAAATAAAATAACATAATATAAATAACACACTTATTTATAATATTAAAATGCTATATATTTGAATATCTGACAAAACGAAAATTATTATAAAATAGAAATAGAAAATAAAATTAAAATTATAATACTGTGTACATGAATGCAGGAGACTAAGTCCTAGGAAAAATCTCCGGAAAAAAATTACAGGTAAGTAATTACAAGTAAGTATATTGGTATATGGTTAGATTTTTGCAAGTTTAAGAAAAAAAAACATACAAAAAAATACACTTATTACAAGTTTAATCATGTATCATTATTTTATTATGCTCTATAATTGTCAAAAATAAATCAATGCTCAATTCTTTCCTAGTAAATTATTCGCATAATATTTGTATATATAATACGAACGCAAAATAAAACAAATAATAATTCGTATTACAAAACTAACGTAACCTGACCAACTTTTGGTAAAAATGTGATATGTAGCAATGTTTAATATTTTAATTAATATTATACTATGTTATAAATTCTTTTATTAACAGGAAATTATTTTCCTGGGACCTTTTTACCGGGGATTTTTTTTTTAATCCGTTTACCGTGAAGCTAATATTCTTCTATTGTATTTATGTACTCACTGCAAAATGGTGAATCCGCGTTTGTCAGACTATACAACCGTATGTGTGGTAATGTGCCAGAATCACTGGCACTAGCGATTATAGGCGCGTATTTTCTCCAATGGCCTAATGATCGTATGCCCATTTCTGCGCAGATTTTACCATCTGGGTTCTGAAAAAAAAAAAAATATTGAGTTATTTAATAAAAATGTGATGTAATTAATGATTTTCTATTTTACTGACATGAACAACTAACTGTAAAAGTGTATTCCTCCGAGATGGTATGAATAAAAATTAAAATCAAGTATTTTGATCATTATAATAAGTTGCTATATATAAAAATAAAATAAATATTAATCGAATGCACTTTACAACTTATAGTTAGTTACAATGTCAGTATGAATACAATTATATGATGTGTACAAACCGTTTCGCTTAGACACGAAAAGCATTCTCCATTAATGAAATCCTCATAAGAATCGCATTCTATTGCTAAAAAGTTGCACTGCGTGTTTACCGATTCGTTGAAATATTCATGCGCCCTGACGTGATCGCAAGCCAGAAATCTTCTCATGCCCTGATAGAAACTACCGTTTTCACGGTTAATGTACTTCATCATACCGTGGTTACAGCCAGGTTGGTTCTGCCCACCATTGGGATAAAAATCTAAATGGCCTATCGGTGCACTCATTCCTAGACCTGAAAACAATTAAAAATCAAGATTATAATAACATATTAACAACAATAATAACAAACATTAAAGTGATACAAAGATATACAACCGAAATCATATTTTAAATGCGAAACGTATAAATGCAGGATGTGAATTATATTGTGTGATCGTAATGTTATCATTATAATTGCACATGTATACATAAAATACGTATTATATTAGTATATAACTAAAAGCACATAGTACCTAATTCGCCTCCTTTGATAAACGGTTTGGAGTCCGTGTGTATGATGTCCACGTAAACGGCGTCCGAAGGATCTAACCTTACCATCGGCTCGGTCTGACTGAAGTGCGGTTCGGCTGGATCCAGACCCGTGATCCGACCTATTGTCACGCCGAAGTTTGTCTGCATTATGCTTCCTACGTAACCGGAGAGATGCGAACCTAAACTGTGGCCGATTAGATGAATGTTGGCGACGTTTAATCCGAGTTCTGTCTAATATTAAATAAAAATAAAAATGAACTAAGAAAAATAAGTTTTTTCATTGTTTTGAATGCTGAGAGTAATGTACTATCGACTCCAGTGATTATTGTCACACACTAGTATTTTCAAGTGATTATAATGATTGATGAACAATGAGTGTACATTTTTTTTAAAATGGGCGCAAGGGACCGCTTCCGAGATAGAAATACTGTTGCCTTTTACCTAATGTTATGAATCTGATATTGGAAAACTATTATTTTTAATTTACTCAAAACTTCGGTTCGCGAGATGATCTCTCGTTTTTGAAAACGGTATTTGTTGTTATAGTTTATCGCAGTGGAAACATTCGTCATACTATATGAATCCGTGTGGAGCGCGGCAGTTGCGGTTCGCAGGGACCTAACGATTCGCCGAGACTGCAACGAACGGGATCGCGCACCTCTATGGGGCGATTGTAAATTCCGCCCGAAATTAATAGGTAAAAACAAGGTCTATGGTAAATTCCATCCGGGGAAAATATCCTAATAAAAAAGGTACATGTAAATTTCGTCCGAAAAATAAATATTTTTAAACTAAGCGTTCCGTGACTGTAATGTTCGAACGAACACGGAACAATCGTATCTCAAACAACAATCGTCAATCATGTCATATCTTATCAGCTTTGCCACATATTATGCTAAATATTGATGTAACATGTGAAATTTATTTGTATTTATTTAAACACCCACATAATACTTTTGTATTTTTTTTTTTTTTTATATTTTAATACCTACTTATAAATTATAACGATTAATCTATGTTATGTCAGTAATAATATGATTAATAAAACACATTCAGAAATTTGTTTATTAACAGTAAGTAATAAATGTATTCTTTATAAACATATAGGCTATTATACCTATACGATGTTGATCGAAAAATACAAAGTAATAAGAACTTCTTACTTATAACTTATAAGTTATACGTAAGACGTGTTTATTAACTATCAATTTTTTCCGGGCGGAATTTACATGCACCCCCTCTATGATGTAGCGGCGTACCATGACATTATGCTCACCCGCAACACGTTTATCAGTTGGGCCGTCACCCTGCCCACCATGCGTATGTTGGCCACGGCCTGCGTGTACGGCGCTCCGGAACCGCGTTCCCAGTCGATGATTATCACGTTGGCGTCGTACCGGCGGAGTATCTGGTACGCGATCTCGCGCAACCACGGCCGGTCGCCGCCCTCCAGGAACCCGTGCGTGATGAAGTACGTGGGCATGGACGGGATCACGTTGGACGCGGCCACCGATCCGGGGTCCTTGTGGTCCAGGTACTGGCACTCGTTCCGGTTGCTGCGGGTGTACAAGCAGTACCGCGGCGCTATCTTGTCCGCGTGCTCCGGGAACAGGTTCACCGGGCGCGAAGAGTTGTGCAGCCACGGGCCGGACACCGAGAAGCAACCGTACTCGCCGTAACACTTGACCTCCACATCTGCAGCAACGTCGTTATCGTTATTGCAACACGGTTTGAGCGGGGAACATAAATTATCATCGCGCGCGCGGCACGCAGTACGTGATTTCTACAACATTTACGGGATTAACCATAATAATCCTGATTTACCGGTCGCACACCGCGGCTGATCGGCGTGATCGGCGTGCAGCTGGAATCACCATACCGATTCAGGTATGAAGTATCAAGGGAACATGTAGGTACTAATCGCCTCCGCAGGTATGGTCAATAAACTTAGGAACGTTGAAATTTTCATTTAGGATGCGAAGACTAATACACTAATTATAGCTATGTAATTGTAGCTACAGCTAGTAAATAATATACTCGCTTTCTTCTTCTTCTTCAAAAAAAAAATAAATGGTCTATAACAAAACGTACAACTACGCAGGTTCTCATAGCTATGGATATTAGATGATAAATGTTATCGGTTAGTTTTTGCCACAGACGTATTATATGTGTAATATTTTATGTGAAAAGATTTATTATTTAGTTCTGTTTCATTTAATCGTTCTTTTTATTTTTTTGGTAATTATTTTTAATGATTTAACTATGAATTTAAAATGGAACCGGATTTAGCAGGCCTGGCCGTAGCCACTCTGGCTATAGCCGTAAACACGCCTATGATTGCATCGATGACGTTGTGCGAACTTACTCGCTGCTTGACGGCGAATTGATCCGCGCGCGAGTGAGCGTGTACCGACCGATTACAACACTTCGGCTTGTAAACTCGATCGCTCGCGCATGTCATGACCGCACGTTGCAGTGGAATAATTATTATTAATAATATTAAATAATAATTTAGCATCTTTTTAATTTTTAATGCGTTTAAACAATGTAGCGGAACAGTCAAAATATTAGTGATTTTTTTTAATAATAATATACGAACACCATCCACTTCTTTGGAATGTAAAACCTAAGGACTATTGTAACATCCAATGAAAATATGAAATGTTAAAAAATGTCTATTCAGAATTTGGTAACGAAGGATTGGTAGAGGGGGTGGATAAAAAACAAATAAAGGCCAAAATAAAAAATATAAAAAAACGTTTATCAAAACAAACAAGCTGAAATTGAAATAAGCAATTAAAGTAATTTAAATCTTGAAAACACAACTAGTCGCGGCTACTCGCGAGCACATTATCGATGTCGAATACGCGAAGCGAATTTACTCGCCGCCCGAGTGTAAAATAGCTAACTAGTAACGACCAAAGTGGCCGTCAACTTTAATAGGGGGCGAATAGCGTATACTCAACAACCGGAGAGTAAACGAGTAGATCTATTATATAAAGCGAATTTAACGAGTAAATTCGCTCAATGTCCTCGAGGCTTATACTACGTATAAGCTGTTACATGAATATTCAATTTCAATATAGGTAATGAAATTGTTTTTTTAAAAATTCGGTTACAAAATCTCAGAGAACCGAAACTCTATCGCGTTAATCTCCTTTTCTGTCATTGTATAATATAATATTACTATTGTTGCCTGTGAATTATAATGTAAAAATAAATAACTAAAATTACATGTTTTTAATTAATAGGTTTGATATATTTAAGGTACACGGATATTGTTTTAAACTAAGGAGTAAGCTATGATTTAGTATAGAAAATAAACTTCACGGAATTAAGATACTTAATATAATTTATGTTTTCTTAGTGAATTATGATGAAATAAATAATAGAAATAATATTATTTTTTGATGGCTTGTTTAGTGGTCAGAATTGAAACTTAACCGGTTTAATTCGTATTTTATGGTATTCGAGTTTTAAAGTAATAGTATAACAAAGTTATTGTAAATGTTTAGCTGATTGAATTGTATACTCACGTACCTATTTATATACAGTTTCCAAATTAAACATATTTATGATATTGACTAATGACGAACATAATAACAAATAATAAAAAAAAAGTTATAAGTTAATATTTTAATTTTTTTTTAAAAAAACTAATAATTAGTTGTATTACAACTTTATTCGAAACCCAATTACTACAGGTTTGTGTACTTTAGAATACAAAGAATAATGGCAATTTAGACTAATTAAATTAAAAGTAACACTAATTAAAAGTCTAACATTTTGTAATTATCTAAATTGACCAATTAAACTATTCGTGTCTAGTTGTTATATGAGTAAGACAATTATTAATAATTTCACAAGTAATGAAAAATGACGTGCTGCTTTGAACTATGAGCTGATATCAAAAAACTCCTGTAATTTTTTTTTACGCACATCAGTGTTGGTCCACAGTTTACGATAATGTGTGATGCGTCACAATATTCATGGAAATAACATATTTTAATAATGCTATAATGTATCGACGTACGATAATTGTTACAATGCCTTATGTTGTAATTTTATATCCAATATGGTTATAAATAATTATTGTATTATTTCTGATCGAGGTATTAACAATAACATTCACCGTTTAAGCTAAATTACCAATTTTTTTATTTTAATTTTACTAAAATATTGTTATATAATACAGGCTAAGTTGACTTCTTTCAAAAACGTCGGTGTTCATAACAGTGCCCAAGCATTAAATAATTAATTGGATTACTTTTTACGGAAAAAAACCTGAGAATTTCTCGTACCAAAAGTCAGACAAGTTTAGTAGGTTACGGTTAATGAGATAACGGATATGATAATATTGTTAGTTACATTTCAACGAGTACTATAAACGAATAAAAGATACACTTGTCTTATAATATTTAGTTATAAGGATGTAGATAATACTAATATTGCGACGGTTACATGAACTTTTTAAAAATCTATGTACAATTTGTTTTTCGTTTACTTATATTTACATTTACATAATATTGCTAAAATAGATTGCTCATTTCCAAAATTATTTTTTTATTGCAATAAATTTAATATTATTACATTTGATGTTAATGCATACCTATAATAAATATGTACAACAGTATATTGGTAAATAGCTATTAGTGTCAAAATATAGATTTTAGACTGCCTTTTCTATATAGTGTCCTATCTCAATTTTATTTTGCTCATAGTTGGTAAACGAGCTTAGAAACTAAGGTTTAATTGAAATATAATGTTTCGTTTATGTATCATATAAACTGTATAAATAAGAAAATACATTTCAAAATCACAAAAATAGTTTTTTAGAATACTGAAGGCCGAAGGAGTAAAGAAGAAAAAAGAAGTCTTCAAAACCATTTTTTATAAGTTTAGAACAGGAACCTTATATTAAACTTTGTTGTGACCGTACATCCACCGTTAGTTACAAGTTTACGATTGTTCACGTTAAATTATATTTATATAACTATAAAATATCAAAATACGAGTGTTTAATATTGGTTCATATTAGTCAATATTAAAAAATAGTCATGAAAATATAAATATTTTACGATTTAAGATATCTGATGTATTTAGATTTCTACGTATAAGAATATAACAGTTTTCAAATTTATTTTGATACTGCACGAGCATATGAAAATATGAAATTATAGTTAATTTTTTTAAAAATTGTTTTAGAAATCGGGAAATAGACGAGTTAAATCATTTTTTTAACCCATCAAGTTGATCTAGATATGTGTAAATAAAGTTTAAAGTTAAAATGTTACTTATTTTTTTCTTATAATAAAATGTTATACAACATGTATGTTCTTCTATGATGTTACTCACTGTCGCCTTCCAAAGTGATGTTGTTGGCTTCCGCGGTGTAGTTCAACGGAAAGGTAATGTTTTCCGTCTGCGCCAGGTACAGCATGGTCTGCAGCAGTAAGTTGCCGGTGTTGTTGAACATCGCGCGGCCGTTCCGTCCGATTTTCCGCGACGTACAGTCGTAACACTATTACGCGTGTAGGACGACGTAGACGATCAAAAAAAAAAAACGGGTGGTTCAAACGAAATCAACACCGGTTGACGGCCGGCATGTTCGGCCCACAGATGCTCCGATCGATTTCTTCCGTATGTTGCGACGACGATGACGTCCTGCGGCGTTCGAAGTTTCGGAACGAGACGAACAATTCTGATACCGCGGTTAGCACGCAGGTAATCCGGAGCGCGAGGTGGTTAGACGGACGAGATGTCGAAGAAGAAAAAAAAACCACATGAAAATGTTGTTGCCGCAGTGTTAAATGCGTTAAGATCGTTCGACGATGACCACACGCCTCGGACGCCGAAAGCCGTATGAGTGCAACACGGGCTTCCATGCGTTATTATTCGCGGCGCTGACGATTGCCGGTATCCACCTGCCTACCCAATAATAATAAAAGAAACAATAATAATAATAATAATAGTAACGTGTGATAAATATTATAATACTCGTATTATTGTGTATAGTACTGTTATCTAATTGAAGCGCACAAAGGTCGGGTGAAAAAAACGACACAGTAACGTTGCGCGCGGGTTGCCGTGAAACACGACTCGTGTGCAAGCATGACGCGTTTGTTTGCAATATTGTACGTTATCATTTTCATCAAACGAAACGCGTAATTAGACGGGTACGTAATGCGGTATAATATGGTACTCCATCATTCGTCCGAAAACGTCGCGTGGTCACCGGTTAATACCAGTGTTCGAAGAGAACGTCGTGCGTTCACGTTCATGTTTTGCGAACGACACGCGAACGTTACGCGTTTTTTCTTCAAATGGAATGTGAACGTGAACGGCGTGTATATATTCAATGCGTTTTTGGTGATTTTCGAGCCGTTAAAATTAATTTACCATTTTAAAAATACGTGTATGAGTAATAAATATTGGTTGCAATATGTTTAAGTATAGGTTTTAAATAAAATGGTAAAATATACCTAATACGGTTTGTAAAGGTCCCATTTATACAAAATGCTGGTTGATGATTCATAAAAATATTATATACAAAAAAAAAAAAATTAAATGAACGCGTTCATTTTTTCATAGAAATTTAACGCGAATGTGTTCGCTTTACAAAAAAAAAATTAATGTGAACACGTGAACGAGTTAAACTTTTAAGTGAGCGTTCCGAATACTCGTTAACACCATCGCGACCGTTGTATTCGCAGTTATTGGAGAACAACATTTCAAGACCTAATGTGGGCGGCGTCATTTACCACATAATATTCATATGTGTCATTTATACATATCTTACGGAGTGCGAATTGTTTACGTTTTTTGCAGTTAATAAGTCAAACGAGACGCAATCGTGTTGCAGCAGTTCCCGTTCACATACACTTCCATCGTTCTATACAGACGGGGGCCCGGCCGTGAGGAATACGTTAAGAGTCATTGGGTTAACTTAGATTAAGATATCCTAAATTAAGATGCATTTCCTGAAAACATAACTTATAAGTATATATATATATATATAATATTATGATATAATATAATTTATACTTATAAATAACACAAATTATATGGCGTAAATTCAGACGATGTTTGGGTCAGCACATTTAGTTAATGCTAAGCCTATAAGCGTTACTAACCAGAAAATACCACGAAGAGGTTGGCTCAGTACTGTTCCAAAAACATGTTTCATGTTTGTATTTTTTTACATTTTAAATTTTCGATATTTTTTATTTATCCATGTAAAATGATATGATTATTTTGTTTGTTTCTTCTTACAATAGCTGTTCAATTTATTTTGTTCCAACTTCCATCTTATAGCACAAACTATTTCACTTAGTTTTCCTTTCCAAAAGTATCGTATCCTTGAAAAAAAAACCTACATTGACTTTTTCTTCTCGCCTTTATTTAAAACTGATCTAGCATTGTAATCTAAACAAAACAGATTAATATTTAATCTGTTGTTATCATTTATCATTTTTTCATTATCATCATTATTATTTTTTTTTGATATTATAGCTATATTGTAAAGTATAAGTTACAATTAATCTGTTAATGGCTTCAGCCCGTTATTATTCACATAGATTTGAATAAAAAATATTTATGTTATTATCTAATGTAGATTTTATTTTCAATGAAGAAATTCTTAACATATACATCATACATTTTTTTTAAAATTTTATCAGTTACATTTGTGCGTTAGGTACCTATCGTGCCTTAATAAATACGCTAAAACATATTAAAAAAGCGTCCAAATAGGTTTATTAATTTTTGATAAAATTGTTTATAATGCGTTCGAACGTATAGTACCATATACGATACGATACGATGGCACTGGATCCGACATATTTACAACAATATTTATTTTATAGGTTTACTTTGGGCTTACGACACATTTTAACTGATTTCGGAAAAACATTACAAGTATTTAAAAAATTGAAATTCCAGCAGCGAAACTATGAGTAGGGACTGGAATAAACTATCGTCCACCGAAAAGGATGTAAGAGGTATACTGCTATAATTTATTTTTAAAAAATTATTAAGTAGTTAACATGTAATTTTGGTTATCTAATATAATCAAAAATATTGTTTACTTATATAAAATACATTAAATACATTTTTACTGAAATGGTACTATAACATGGCCCACAAAATAATAGGAAAAATCGTCTATGACGTATATACCTGTGAATGAACCAAGTAATTGACTAATAGATTTGTTACCATTTAATAGTTCACCAAAATTGTAATCATCACCCAGATGTAAAAAATTATAAGTAATACAACAAGTTTTCATTACGTTTGCAAAATCCGGTTTTATTATCAATGGAGTATGAAACAATCTCAATTTACTTAATAGTACTCCAAATATATATTCTATTGTTCGTCTAGCTCTAAGGAATTTATAATTAAAACTTTTCCATGACAATTTCTTTTATGTTTCAAACGTTAATCGTTTTTTGTTACGTTATTCAATATTAATTTTAATCGTTTTTCGTTTCTGTTTTGTTTTCCGTTATACGTTTTTAATCGTTTATTGTTTACCGATATGTTATCTGTTATCGATTTCAATCGTTTTTTGAATAGTTTAACGTTATACTCATAACGTTATAAAAACGTTTTGGTGCCCTGATTAAAATACTTAAAATATTATAAAATTGCCGACTCAATGTATCGGATAAAGCATTGTGACAACTGTGCCCAACTAAAATGCCGTGGGGGGGTCCACCCTCTACAACCCACCATCCCTATTGGGACGGCCTTGAATATACAGTTTTCTTATATATAGTTCACATGGCATGCGTGCACGATTACGACACAAGAATCTATTTCCGCGTGTACACGCGCGTTATTTTGAATACTGTTATGATATGGATCGTTCAGATGACATGTGCGTTTCATTACGATTGGTTTAAGAATATTTAATATTTATATTTATATTAATTAAATTAAATTATTATATTTAATTTATTTATTTATTTATTTATCCTTAATAATTACTTTTGTGTACTTTTCAATCAATATTTTTTTAAAAAAACATTGTATAAATATGGTAGTAGACACCTAAACTCTAATGCCGTGTCCTTGTAGGTGAATCCGACAAATGCGATAGTCGTTATACGATGCTACCAATACGATTAAAGAAATATTCAATATTTCGTTTTATTTGCCTGTGTTCTATGAAGCATATGTTCTATTACACATGTTAGGTATTTAAATAGGCAGGCCTGGATTAACACTATCGTAGGTTCTGTTCTCAAGGCACAGTGTTTTTGTGCTAATACGGTCCTGCAGTGTTTAGAAACCTCTTTGGGAGAGGAAGTGTAGAATCAAATCTAAACTTTTATAATATAACTTCAATTTTTTTAAATGATAACAATTTTAACAAATTAAATCTTAAGAACAATTAATTTTATAATAAAATGAAAATTTCAAATATCATTAAAAATAATATTTTTTATACTATTTTACATGATTTAATACAAAAAAAAAAAAAAAAAAAATAATAGTATGCATAATAATAATAATATAATAAGTTAATTTTAACTTTCTTAATAAAACGTGTGCCGCATCTGACAATGACAAGAGCCACTAGTGGCTCGTGGCCCACAAATTGGCCACCTCCGCTATAATGTCTTAACTAAAAATATTAAAACATTCACGTTCGACGCTCGTACGCGAAATAACCTATTACTAACCTAACCTAACCTATTATTTCTTCTAAGGGCATCAAACGTGATTTTTTTAATATTTTTAGTTAAGCTAACTTGCGGCTCACTAAATATAATAATATAATAATATAATGTAATAACACACAGCCATCTGAACATACGCTTGTTTTGTAGCAGGCACGTGTATGCACGTCAATGTGAACTTAGCCGTAAACTTTTTCGTGATTGGGTGGTGGTGGAAGGGTTCGAAGTTGATGACAATACGTCTCGTAATACTCGATTCAACAACCTTTGGTTAGATGTTTGTTTAGTTTTCGTGGAATTTTTTTCATTTCTGCGAATTCATATAGATTTTAGACTTTAACACGAGTACTTCAGGAATTCTGTTTGTTTGTTTTTATAATTTGATTTTGCTTTTCACGTTGAATGACGTATCAATGTTATTTTGTGTGCCTGCGCATGTGTTATAAGTTTTGATTGATTAGCTTAATGACCTATCTATAGTTTTCAAAACGCAATTATATATGCACGCGTACAATGGACTCAGTGCGATTTACTTTACATACATTCAACTGAACTGGTTATGTTAGTTTTGATAACCTGAAAATGATGTTAATTTATTTATAATTTATACATTTAATTATTGATAATTAAGAAGTAATTGTAAATTTTATTTATTAAATGTGATTACTTTGTTAACTATAATTTAAAATTGTGCATTTGAGTTTAAAATTGGAATATCTAAAAACTTTTATGTTTTGAATAACTTTAAGAAGTTAGTAATTCGAGTTATGTACATGATTTATGCATTAAATGTTTTTTTTCCAAAATATTTTTATCTATAATAACATTTTTAAATTGTTAGGATAGTATTAAATTCTGAAGTTGCCATAGTATTTTTCAATAACTTCAGAGAGTTCCCTGTTCAGATTTATAGAAATACAATTTTTTTTTACTACGTCTAAGTTTATTTTATAAAAATAATAATAATAAGTGTAAAGAATATAAATTATTTAAAAAAAATAAACTATTGAATTACTTTGAAAAAACACTCAAGTTAATGTTTAAAAAATTAAGAATAATTAAAAAACTATAATTAAAAAATTTAATAAAAAAACTACTGAGTTGGTAGAATAAACAGATGCATACAGGTATTAAAAAAATGGTGAAAATAAAAATTGTGTATTCGTCCTAAAAAATGAAACTACTAGATTATGTTTATAGATACTTTAATAATTCAGATTAAATATTCGGTTAATATAGATTTAAAGCTTTTTTATCTAGGTTAGTTGGTTGCAAGATTTATTTTAAAAACTAAATATTTAAACATAATATAATTTGTTGGAATATATTTTGTTGAAGTATTTCCTTAATTCGAGTATAATGGATACAGTCAAAACTATCAATAAGCGTGTTAAATCCTCGTTGTTAGTTTTACCTAAAATTAAAATTTGTAAACGAGAAATTATTGTATGGTATGAAAAGATTCTAAAAAAGAATGACATTACCTAAGAAATAAAAAATCGTCTTGTTCCATTTCTGACCGAAGTTATGCTGAGGTATTTGAATATAATAGAATTTCAAGAATAAGCATATAAACAACATTACAAAAGTTAATAATAATTTAATGATTTGTTTTTTCTTTTAATACTTTTTAATAAATTATTAAACATAAGATTATATTAAATTTGTATATTTACCTAAAAAATTATTTTGCTAATGGTCGAAATATTATCACTAAAATGTCTAATGAAATAAAACTAAAATAATATTTTTGTAATCTAAATAATTTTGAATTTTACAAATATTATGTTAATATTAATATAAAATTATTTTTTCTACAAAAGTTATACGTCATATATATATCAGTTGCCGTCACGTTCATAATTTTTAATAAACACTCAGTCGTAGTGACGTATAAAATAACCAATGTAAACTGATTGATGTTTGATGAATAATGTTTTCATAAAAGATAAAATAATACGTTCCCTTAATAAGTAATTATAAAAAAATACATTCAAGCCTATAAATCATTTATTCGAATTTGTTTACCAAGTTATATATATTTTAGAACATAAATATATATAATTCAAATAATTAAAGATAATTCTACTCGTATTAACCTATAATATGTAGTATTATATCTATCGACTACTTGTACACAATTGCTTATATTTCAGTAATTTAATCGATATTTGATATAATATTTTAATAATTTAATTAATCATGTATTTCAACTTGAATCAATTGTCTACACAGGAATGTTATACCTAGTGTATTGGAATAAATTATATTTACATAAAAGGTGATATGTTTTACTTTGTTTTTATAGGATTGTTGATGGTTTAGTAATCAACATTAGTAACTAAAGGTCTTTCCACTATTTTTACTATTTATTCACTCAAGATAAAATTTATTTTTATTTTTCTCCCATAAAGTTACTGCGACTTAATTTAACTATTTCAGATTTATATCCTTTTGAGTTTTAGTTTTTCTTTATTAATTGAGTTATTTCAAATTTGAGAATAAACAATTTATTGGTCAATGCGTTTAAATAATGTGTTTTATAATTTAGTCGACCAATCACCAAATTATAAATGCATCTTTTATAAAGCCATTGACATGTTGTAAATCAGAAAAATTAGACGTGTACTATACGAGTACTTATGTACAAAGTACAAACCATTTTTGGACTGGTTTGACATCCCACCCATGTTAATAGGTACTACTAGGTAATATGAGCCACCGAGCAAGCATTGAATAAGAGCCGACTAACCTAATCTAGAAAAAACGGAAATGACACAACTTTGATGATGATGACTTCGTAAATATTTTTCTGAATTTTCATAATTCAAAACTAAATATAATTGTACGAGTAAAACATACACGGACAATATTAGTTGACATTTATAACGTATTCTTTTGCAGACTATTAAATACTAAATAATGACAGTACCAAATATTTTAGTACACAATATATTACATAATTTAATCGTGTTCAATTTAACAATAAATAATAAATACGTTTGAACAAATATAAATAAATTAGTGGACAGAGTTGAGTTTGGGACAGAAAGTCGTAGGAATATCATAGCGCAGTGGTCCATTTCCGACTGAATATCGTTTCAGTTTAAGCCGCCATGATAGTTGTCGAAAACACCTAAATCGCCGATGAAAAACGTTTCTATCTGCTGCAGTGTTTTGTTTTCCGTCTCGGGCATGCACGCGTACAGATAAAGGGTACCGACTAAAGTTATTGCTCCGTAGACGATAAACAACCCAGGCAGGGTGATCCATGCTTGCAATATCAAAAATGATTTAGTCAGAATGAACGTCATCAAAAACGCCAACGCAGCCGTCAATCCACTTGCAACGCCTCGACCCCTAGAACCGATCATATATGATTAATCATGTGTAATAATAAATTTAATTTCATCGTCATTGAGCCTTGATTTATTGAAGCATATCATACGCGATACGATTGGTGGAATCTGGTATGGTTATTTTTAAAATTCACTCGATTAATCATAAACAAAACATTGTAAAATAGAGATCGTACTTTGCTCTTGCAAGTAATTTTTTTTCATATTTTGTTGTCGATGTACTTTTTTAGGCTTGTCGAACGTTTAGACTTTTGATATTAAGACAGATTTCCCGGTATAAACTTATTAGATAAATAAATAAATATAATAAATAAATTAATAAATAATATATTTGATGTGTCTTACGGTTGCAAGCGTAAGACTTTTTTTAGATTAAAATGTTTGTTTTCAATATTCTTCAATTAGTCTTTAAAATGTTATAATGTAGAATCGAAAGAATAAATATATGGCCGTTAACGGTAAAAGATATTATTTTTTAAATTAATTAAAATACATATGGCATTTTTACTCGCCATGCTTAAACGTAATGTTATAATAATTGTTATTGTTGTAGGTTACCTATGCATACAATTTATATATATTTTATACTCATTTGATAAACTTACTTTGTCGGATATATTTCACTGACCAACATCCAAGGAATTGGAAATACGCCGTACCCAGAGAAGAAAAATAAAGTGTTTAGCAATACCATTGGTACCCAAGTGCACGAAAACGAGAAGTATGTAACAGAAACCATGTGCATTCCGATCCCGAGCATTGAAAAAGCACTGAGTGCCATCGAAACCAATGTTATAGGTCGTTTGCCAAACTTGGATACGGTGAGTACGTTCATGAGTGTTCCCATCAAGGTTAAAATTGATGTGTAAACCTAAAAAACACAAACAACACGTTACGATTATCCGATGATCAGTTTAAATTTAAAAACAAATACTTAAGATTGTTTTGATGTTTCGTGACGTCGAAAGACGACCCCGCGTCAAGAACCGTTATTCCATACCCCCGTATTAATATACATGTACTCGTACCTTATACACTGTACTTGTACGAATTTTTGTTTAAAAATTAGTGACTTACTTGGTGATAATTAATGTTAGAATAGAAAAAAAACACAAATGGAAAACCGTGGTGAATTTCTATTTTAATCTTTTTAAAAACTCTCGTTGGGTAGGATTGACCGCGATGGTTTTTAAATGTTAGTTCTAGTCTTAACACGTTGAAACTATAATTTACCAAAATGTAATTTGCACTACTGCAGATAGTTAAAAGTAGAATTTGTAATTTTCACAAAAATGAGTATCTATTTGTTCTATTATAGAATATTCGATATTATAATATTCGATTATTCCTCAATATCCTTGTCAACGCGTCGACGTCGTCGAAGTTATAATCGAATTCAAGTTGCTTTGGACCAGTATAATAATAAATAGATATCAAGAACTGCATTTCATTAAATTAGTTGCATACAAATCCAAAAAACGTGTAAGTATCAAAAAATTTAAGTATAACAATTAATATATACCTAAGTTTACTTTATTTTAATTAAAAATTATTATTTCCAAATTATTTCCTTTTTCATTTAACCATGAAACATAAAATGCTATCAAAAAATCTGGCAAATCAAATACAACATACATTTTTTTTACTATTATTTTTTTAATAGGCTAACTTTTTTTTATATTCATAGCAATAAGCTTTTATATAAATCTAAAACAATCTGTGTATAAGGTCAGCTATTTTATAAATAAAAACTAAACTATAGTTATATTATGATTATAGGCATTCTTTATCGAAATCTGTATTGTATACTAATAATTTAATAACATTATGTATTTTACAATTATATTTTTTGCCTAAAATAATGAAATTATTATACTGTTATCATAAGTTATTGACTATTATTATAGTTTTGAGGTCAATACTGTAGTACCGTATAGACCTCCATGTGAGTAAGTTAAGTAATGAATCAGAATCCAAAATTCTATGTTATTAGCTTCTTATATCTCGATATATAGAAAATTTATATTGGTACTATCGAGATACTATCGAAAAAATGATAGATTTTAATTTTGATACAAATTAAAATTACTATTTCTTACTACTTGAGTGTGGTGTAAATTTACATATCCTTATTTTGGGGTAAATTACAAACGCATTTCAAAAATGTTGGTGTAAATTACGCATGTTGTATATGTTTTTAGTCAATGTTGGTACAAATTGACTGCAACCGTTTAATCATATTTTTTGAAAACAGCATTTCTTATGATATAAGTCGTATCAGGGATAATACAATTTTGTTATTCCGGTTTATGACATTCCCCCACCGTACCAAATATCTGCGCATGCCATTGGCTGTAACATATTTTATAGAATATACAAACAACTGACCAGTGTCCATTGCGCGGTGCACGGCAAACCTATTTCCTCGAAGACGGCTATCAGGTACGGTTTGGCCGGTATGAATGTGGCGAATGACCAGAAAAAAAAGAAAATCATTATGAACAGGAACGGCCGGTTAAGTTCAGGCGGCCAAAAGTTGTTAAACGTGTCCAGTACGCTGCTATCCATCTGATTCCGTTCCGTGAGTGCTTCAATGTCGACTGATAATAAAAACCAACCGTTGATAACCATTTAAGTAATTTTATAATGTATATATTACGCAAATAATAATTACTACTTATAATAACTTATAACTCTATAGCATAAACTGGAAGGTATGGTAGAAGGGAAGTGCGGAAGAGAAAGACCAAAAATGAGTTATATAAGTCAAATAATCAAAGATGCAAGAGTCGATTCGTATAAACACTTAAAGGATAAATCGTAAGACAAAGAATCATGAAGAGAACATTTAATGTAGACCAATACGGGTTGAACACTATTAAAAATAAAAATCTAGGTATAGCGCAGTGATCAGTTCAGACTTTATGTCCCACTTATGAAGGGGGGAGTTTATACATAAATATACAGATATCTTTAATAAATCGGAAAACTCGTTAAACAATGAAATACCTATTACGAGCAGATGTCTATGCTGATGAGATGGTAAATGATCACGATATTGGATGCATACACGATATCTTTACTATGTTCATTCATATCATACACAGGGCCGGTTAAAGGTATAGGCGAGCTAGGCACCTGTCTAGAGCGGCACTTTAGTAGGAGTGGCGTTTTTAAAATTGACTCATACATTTTTTTTAGTTCAGTTCTATCTATCTATTTTATAAGAAAAATATTTAAATTAATTCGTTCGTGAAAACCACTTACCTATATAATAAAATAATTTTGTCTTAAGTTATTATATTACTTAATATCAGGCCATAAGGATTCTACGCCCACCATATCCGACGTAATTTCACAAAGCATATTTATAAATAAATTTATAATTGGTAATGCTTATTTATACTTTATTAATTGATAAATATATTGTTGTTCTAAACATCTTTTTACATTTATTTTATTTAGATTACCTAGTAATTTAAGTCAATTTTACAAAAATAACTATGTTCCAAATCTATTTTACTGATAGAAATATTTTTCCATGACAATTTCTTTTAAGTTTCAATCGTTAATCGTTTTTTGTTACGTTATTCAATATTAATTTTAATCGTTTTTCAATTCCGTTTCGTTACCCGTTATCCGTTTTCAATCGTTTATAGTTTACCGATATGTTATCCGTTATCCGGTTTCATCGTTTAACGTTTACCGATATGTTATCTGTTATCGTTTTCAATAATTTTTTGAATAGTTTAACGTTATAAAAATGTTTTGGTGTCCTGCTTAATATCACGACCTATGCTGGGCGTCGTTTTCAATTATTTCAAAAATATTTTAACCACAATTCTGCGATTTCTGATAATCGCGATAGTGATGAATTTTGCTTAATAATTATATAAATCATTTTAAAGTCTTTTTACATATAATGTTATACATAAAATAAAAAATAAAAAAAATTTTTATGCGGATATGTGACATAAAAAAATAGGAGAAGGGGCTAAGTTGAAATGAGAGCTTATATTTTTTTTTAGAGGCGGAAAAATTTGATTTTGCCTACTGTACTATTTTTGCTTGGGCCGGCCCTGATCATACATATTTAATGTATTGTAAGAGTAATAATAGTACATAAATGTAACACATTGATCCAATATCTGGGGTGGAAATTGTTGTTATCCCCCTTATCCACGGGTAAGCCTCTTGAAACTATCACTGGCTTCACGTATATATTTTTTGGACGAACAGCTATTACCGTTGGTCGCGTCGTTAGTTTTGATCTGCAAGTACTTGACGTACGACAGACGACGTTGGTCCATTCCACAGTCCGCGTACTGTTCGAGATCGACGCACTTGTTGCACCCCGCATAGATCGACAGTTCAGAAAACTCATCTTCCACGTCGTCAGGGCTTACGCACCCCCTCAGATAGGCCAGCGACTTCTTCGCCTCGGACAACCGGTTCCTGGACAACAGCCATACTGGTGATTCGGGCGTCTGTGATAGAACGTAACACGTGTGAAGCATAATTATATAAGTTAATCGATGAGGTCAACTACAGTCAGCCGGAAGCAGTGGCGTAATTTTGGGGGGGATATGGGGATATATCCCCCCCAGACGCTTTTTTTTTTTAGAATAATTATAATTAAATTTCCGCAAGCACTAAGCTTTAAAAGATTTTAAGATAAGACATAAGAATACATGGATATTATCATAGTTGATATTTTTTTTATTTTACTAATATAAAACTACAATTGTTCAACAATTATAATATATGACAAGAAAATTGTATAGCTCAGAGTTAAAATATAACACTGATAAATCTACAATTTACCATTCTTGTTTAGTGCTTAAAGCATGCAATATTTCACAAAAACGTGAAACATTGAAATTTTTACTAAAACAAATATTAATGTTAGTTATTTATCAATTATTTATTATATAATCTAAAAGTTCTTATTATAATCATTAATATTAATGGAATGAGTACAGTGGTTGACATATTACTATAATAACTATATATATTGGGTCTTATTTTCGACTATTTATAGCATTATAGCATTACTTGGTTTATTTTCCTAGGAAATTGCTTTCGACAACGTCGACAAACAATGTATCATTATATTATTTTATTCAGTGGTATAAGGTACTAACCAGTCCAAATCTATCCTTTTTCATTTCAATCTGACTGAAAAAATACACAATCTTGCTCTTAGCATTTTTTCTAGCCATTAATTGTTTTTAACTAGCTTAATTCTGATTTAAGTTATATATAATATATTTTAATTAATTGTTTGTGTATATAAGTATAATATTACACAACGACATTGATATCATGAGTTTTTCCCTTCGTTTTCGTTATCATTCCATATGATAAACCATATTTATGGTTGTTATAACAAATTATATTTATCTGTGGTGGTTGTTAACTACGAATCGGATTTATATTCATATCTATTTAATATCTATCATATCTAGTTATCACTTTACACCTCGGACTAGTATATCTTAGTTCATTTCACGATTGTAGATTCGTGATTCAAAAGACTTTAATTCGCTATTTTAACATTTTTTAAGTATTATCTATTAATTTTGTTTTGTTATTTTTATTACTTATTATTTTATTTCCTTGTTGGTTATTTTAATGTTGGACTGCTTAGAACATTAAAATGTAATAAACTATGAATTATGATTATTTAATATCTTTATTTATTATATTTAATGTTCTAATAATATTATTTACTTGTAAAATATGATAAAAAGATTAATAGCTTTACTAAATAAAAAAATGGAAATTGCCAACAATTCTAATAGTATTAATATTTTTATTTTTGCATTAATATGTTTGTTATTAATCGATTTTTTTTCAGCTGATTTCCGGCCTTTTGTGATAGTACTCATAGCTTTTTAAAAAAATTATAACTGGCAACACTGGTATTAACTATTTTGAAATATTATAAAATTGTAAACGATCAGCAATAGTACAACACCAATGTCTATTATTATTTATATTATATATAATAAAACGAGTAATAAAATAATATTATTTTTTCTTTAACTCTGGATGTGTGTCTATTGTGCGATAATGTAAATTTAATATATTACTAAATTACATATTCAATTATTAAATTAAAAATGAAAAGGCAGTCGAATGCTTTTATTTATTTTTTTCAAAAAAATTTAAAGAAACTGATCAAAAAAACAGCTTGTTAAATGTAATTCAGATTAAGACCAACCTAGCAAAAAACTTATCGTAATAAAGTTGACCTATTTTTTAAAATAATCTAAATCTTCATACATTTATATATTTCTTATTTCTATGTAATTATTATGGCATACCCATATCTATAAATTTAAAAATCAATAACACAAGGATATTTTCTTAGGAAAAACAAAGAATTAGATCAATGATTTCTGTAGAACAACCTGTAAGTACAAAGTTAGAAAAAGTTAATAATTAATAATTAACATTTTTTACAATCATCATAATACCATTTAATTTATAATAATAAATTAATATAATATTGAGATATATGAGATTTAATGGTTAAAGGGGGTGTGGGGGGCATAGCCCCACTAGAATGATAGTATAAATTTATATCCCAATCCCGCCCCAAAACCAATTCCAAATTACGCCACTGGCCGGAAGCTAGAGACCGCGAGGATTGAACGATATAGTGGATGATCACTGATAACTTATCAGTCATATACATCAGTCGAGATGACGAATCTAGTAGGGTTATGGATACTTATTTTATCTTTATGTACTTATGTGGATCCAGTTATCTACTTATGATTTTTCCTGGGGACAGGAAAGATATTTACTTTGTAGTATTACTGTAGTAACAACATTTTCATATTTTTAGTTACAACGTTTAGTTCCATTAAGAAAAATACGGTAGTAATAGAATATTTACCTTTTTTATATATTTTAAACATTTTCAAATATTCATGAAAGATTAATGTAGAATTATAATTTATAAAATTGAAAAAATTTAACAGAAAAAAAAGAAGAAGGATCTACATCCCATATACTCCTCTACGCTAATAAAAAACTGGATGTGTCGCCAACAAGTATTCGACCTAATGTTTAGTTGTTGGGCGAGGTCAAATTAGACTCGTCGGGTAGAAAAAGTGTTTTCAACGAGAAAGCAATGTATATTGATATGTTTCAATACAGCGTTTTAAAAACACTTATCAGATCTACGGGAATTGTTGAGAAAATATCAACCCTATCATTCATCATGTCCTTCATGTCGAGAATTTTGAATTAAACACTGCACGAAACTACTGCTGTCACGGCTATATAAAAATGTTTACCTTAACAAAAAGAATGTAATAACAATATACGTTTCAGGCTGCGCTTACGACAAAAATTCGGCTAGTGCGACGATCATTATTATTTACGGAACTAGTGCGTTTCCTGTCTGAAGGTAATCGAAATGATTTGTGCGCACGGATATTAGAATGATAGCTGAATACACTATGGTAGGACGATTTCTATAATTACTATTTTTGTAACTTGTCTACGCGCAAATAAATTTAGATATTTTTACCTTGAATATTTCTTTGTCACCTTTCAAATTTATTATAAATATTAAAATTTCACGATGATTTTTTTCAACTGTCATTTTAAAGATTTGAAAAAAAATTACGTTTCGAAAGTTGCAAAATTTAATAGGGTTTAAATATGCGATTTCATTATTTTGCTTAAATTTTTCAAAATCGCGTAACTTTTTGTAAAATTATAATCTTGAAAATATTTTTGTTTAAGAATCACGATTTTGCTTATAATAGTTTCTGTCGAGCAAAACTTTCCCACGCATTTGTAGCATGGTTAAAACACTGACATTAATGAGTTAAAAATTTAAAATAAAACTACATTTAACCAAGATATTTATCGACCTAATTTGTTTTAAAGTAACTTCTAAGTTCTTTTTTTCATAATATGCAGCTACTAATAATAACTTAATTCATTTTATATATACGTTAAATTAATTATTCCCTACTTTAAATTCTAAAAAATAACATTTAAATTACTGTTTTAATAAAATTAATTGGCATTACGTATAATAATTATCAATTATTGAGCAAGTGTTTAATTATTCTTGGATTTCAATAAGAATAAATATAACGTACGTAAATATAGCATTATACAAACATCATGTTATATTCAATTAAAAAAAGTACCTAACTTATTTAAACAAATTAAGTTATTTTTTTTTCCTATCCAACTTTTACATCTTTTATGAGTCAATAAAAAAGAGAAGTAACTACAAACGGTTTAAACTTAACTTTCATTTGTCTAGATTAACCTAACTCGACGAATTGAAAAAATAATTGAACTCGTCCAAACTTGGACGATCGTGTACCGAGTTATACAATATTTTACGTATTATGATGTATGATCAATTATGATATTGTATGCTTACCAGGAGCACGATGGCGGCGAAAGATACAACAGGCACGGCCATGTTGATCATGGCGACCGTTCGCCAGGGCATCACGGTGGACATGAGGTACGCGATGAACGAGCCCAGCATGATGGTGAACGTGGACACAGACGACAGCGGGCCCCTAAGCCTGGGCTCGACGGATTCGCCCACGTACGTCAACACGGGTGCCTCGCTCAGGCCCATGCTCAGCCCTAGTGCCACGCACGACACGTACAGCTCGAACGCGTTTTCCGCCCTCCACAGCACGTACCAGCCGACCAGCTGCGGCAAGCTGACCGCGGCCAGGCACCACTTCCGGCCGATGAGCTCCTGCAGGAGCCCGGACAGCAAGCCACCCGTGGGATGGCACACCAGCAGCACGCTACCGTACCAGGACGCTTCCGTTTCCGTCAGCGTCATGTCACGGCTGACACCGTCCGACATCAGTGACCCGATGACCACCGTCGGTATAGCCAGCGACATGCCGAAACCCAACATCATCACATTCTGCACGGCGATCGTACCAATCTGCGAATACGTCACAGAATATGTATAGTTATTTATTTCGTTTATTCTATATATATATATTTTTTATCCAGAGAAATAATCATATAATTTGTGCAAGTATATGATAATGTTATATAATAATGGCTCACTCGTAGTATTCGGATGTTTATACGCTAAAAATGACAGTCATTCAATATGTATTCTATCAAAATATACATAAAAAATTAAAATACATATTTTTAGCTAAAAATAAAAAAAACTATCAAAATATGCACAAAAAAAATTATATCTTATAATTTAAAATCATAAAACATTCAAAATGTATTATAATATGTAATATATATTTTTATATATATAATTAAATTAATTTTTTTTATTAAATTTAAACATAATCTGTTGCTTAGAACAATAAGTAAGTTACAAGTATATATTTTACAGCACGTGGATGATTTGTGGGAAAAGTTGTTCACGTCTCATAATTTTTTCTTTTTTTATTATTATAGCATTTAGTTTATTTAGTCATTTAGGCTTCAAATCTCTAGATCAATTTATTTTTAGACGACAATTAATATTTCCAGGAAGATAAAAGGAGGAAACATTGCGGATGAGATATTTTGTGTGGTTTATTAATTTAGCGTGAAAACAATTATCATACATATTTACCAGTTCTTTGATGATGAGTATTTATAAAGATATTTGTTTGTAATAAACATGCGAGATCCAGTTATAAGGTCTAGTCACTCGTGTTTGAATACCATGTGGACCAGGGTTCGGCAACTGGTGGACCGCGGTCCGAATCCGAACCGCGGAGGGCAATACTCTTGGACCCTGTCAACTTTTATTTTCATACTTTTAATATTGTAATTTTTAATATGCATTAATTGTAATAACCAAATAATTATTTTTATTTTTATACTACTATTTTTAAAATATAAACATTTGAAAAATATCTTTTTCACTGGACCTCATTGATTTATTATTATAAACTTTAGGACTTCAATGTAAATTACTTGCCGACTCTTGATATGGACGGATGAGAGATTAAAATATTAATCAAATTTCAGCCGAATTGGATAGGTTTTTTTACTGGAAGATGACTAAATTTAAATTAGCTAATAACAAAATTATCTTGATCATACACGTGGTATAGTAGCGGTCCTGAACTTGTGGTACGTGGAAAGATCACACGCAAAGAAATTTCGCTTTGCATACTGTGAAGTACGTAAGATTCTACTGATACAATTATTCAAGAAAGTTTAATCGATTTGATAAGCAAAAAATAAAAGGTAATGACTAAATAACTAAAATCTGAAAAGTGAAAGTCTTATTTACAGCGCATTTTTACCGTTTCAGGACAGTTTTTTCCTCACGCATAGAAAAATTATTAAGACTTAAAAAAAATGATCTATCTAAATTACCACCACATGCCAATTTAAAATCTAAAAAGTTCATAGAAAAAACTTTTGGACCAGTATTTTTATGTGAAAAAGTGTTAAAAAAATAAAATACAAACATAATTTTAAAACCATAATATTCTTCGTTTCACTTAGAATCTAAAAGTTTTGTGAAAGAAACATTTATGTTTACAGACGGGTAATTCGTTATATGCACAGTAAAAATATAAAATCAAAGCAAACAATTTAAATTTAGAAATTTTCAAATATTTACCAAATATTTTATTAACTGTTGAATTGTATGAGTAGCGGGTGTCTATAACCATTAAGGAACACGAAAAAGATAGAAGGGCTTCAGCACCTCCAGATTTTTTATTGAAATTGCGCCCTTGGTCATAATAATAATATATAATTATATATTGTTGTAGATTTGCCCAGAGCGATTTAAACCCTAGAAGGTTACACAAAGCCGTTCCTCTCATCGTCAAAACCATTGTATCTAATACAAACGTTTTTTATATTGTGTTATCTTTTATGTGTATAATAAAATAATTACTACTGGAGAAAGTGGGTTGAAACAATAAGTGTTTAAAATCTATTCCAAGATATCGATAACGAATTAACGGATGATTGTCCATTTCAATTGATTCCGTGGTTGAACTCTCGTTTTCCATTTAATTCTTCTGCGATTTTTTATCGCGCTGATTCCTATACTCAGCATTCAAGTTTGCTGTAGTACGCCTCACATACAATAGCTGTAATACTTATTGATAATTTGATCGATGCAAACGTAATCGTTTTGTCCTTTAAAAACCGATTAAAACATTTTTTAATTTTTTATTATGACCTTATTGCGGGTTTATGACTGCCACAATTGGCGTAACGTCATCAATCATAATGTACCGAGCCGAATAGCCAATATTGCAATTTAAATAATATTTAATTTTTGCATTATTTTGTTTGGTAGAACAAGATATATTTATTTTTAAAACATACAATTTGTGTACACGTTTATTTTTTTTTACCGAGACGTGCGTACTCATAACGATTAATTAACATGATTAAAAATCAATGGCATTCAAATATCATATGTGCACCATGAGGTCGACGTCAATCTAGATTCTTATTACTATCAAAGATCCTTGACATCTGTTGTTCCGGCTTTCTATTCCAATGACGTTCTTCAATCATTAAACTTTAGGAATTTGAACACTACCGCGAAAATACTGCCGTATTACCGAATTTTCACGGTTCAAAGGTATAACACGTTGAAATAAGATCAAGGGCATTTATCGAACTTCGAACTCAAATTGACAAACTTTTGAATAGACAATGTAGACCTTTCTGGTATTGTAATGTAACGAAAATGATAAAAAATTATTATAGATATTATGTTATTAAAGTTATTATTACAAAACAATGTTATATTTTATAATTTTTTTATTGTAATTATTTGTTTAACAATAATGTTTCAAATACAAATTCACCTTACTATTCAACTAGGATTTACTAATCGTACTAATAATATCACCTATATTGCAACACATATAATATAAGAGTTCTATTTATTCGTGTTCCATTTCAGATCTTTAAATGGTTGATAAATATTTAACACATAGAATCTCAAAGGAGACATCGCAATTAGATATCCACTGTAAATGAGCATTTAATATTAATATTTCATTCGATGTTAGTCATAATCATTTTAATAGTTTTATGTGTAGTTAGATATTTACGTGGCAGCATGTGCTTTCATATCATATTCGACAAAATAATATTTTCCTAAAAATATCAACATATAGTTTAAATATCGCAAATCAGTATATAATTAGTGTAGTTTATTTTGAGTATCTAAAGTTTAGATAAGCAGAGTGAGATAGAAGCAGCAACCAGAAAAATATTGTCTCCACATCAGTGCATTTTTTATGAAATTTTTACTGTGCGACGAACCATTTTTTACTTGAAATAGTCAGTGTATGATTGTAGTATTTTACGATCGCTTCGCATAATTATTAAAAATAAATCGTAATCCTGGTAGAAAAAGTAAACATCGATAATATGATAATAAACAATATTATGATAAAATATTATCTGTGGTTAAAACGGAAAAATATTTTGTTATCAAATCACAAGTTCAAAAATTTGCAAATAGGTGTAGTTGGGCTAGCACTATACTATTTAAAAAAACCTAATTCCTTAGGGGGAGGAGAACTTTATAACCGCTACTGTATAAATACAACATAATATAGTATATAAATTATACGAGCTTGATCATTAGGGTCCATTATACAGTATAAAAGAGCAAGTTCGTGTCTATGAGTCTGAACTATATAAATAACAATAATAATATAACTATAACAAATTAAAATTTTATTATGATATTAATTTATTAATTCGATTTCAAAGCTATTTACAGTCAATACTTAAAATAATTAAGAACATAAAATATTTAACAGTATCTAATTATTTGTTTTACACGGTTTAAATAAAATCTTCTTTGAACACTGAATTGTGTTTCGCTTAGTCTTTTACAATACTATTAACTAAGCGTCAAAATATTTTCACTGGGCGATATTTGTGTTGCCTAGTTAACTAGTTTATAAAATGCATTACACTACGTTACTTATTTCACTAAAGTTTAAATTATTTTAAAAAATTAATTACTGCAGATTCGATATTTGATTTTTTTTTTAGTTTTGATTTTTTTTAAAATTCTTTTATCGTTAAACATTATAGTAGATATTTGATTTTAATACATCGATATCTTCAAGAATATTTTTTAAACCAAAATTTAAAATTTAAACATACGTTAATGATTGAAAAGTAATTAATTTACATCATGTTCAATCATGTACATAATTTAATCGATTTTTTATGAAATTATTAGATCAGTTCAATTATTATGAAACGTTTATTTTAAATTTTATATATTAGGTACTTGCATATAACTTTGTTTATATCAAAAATCAACTACAAATAAAAGTCTTATTTAAACTCTGATTACGAAACCAAAACTAATTATAATTAGGTACATTTTTTAAAAGGTTATTATTTATAATAAGTTAAAATCAGTTGAATATTAAATATTGAAGTAGACATTTTTACCAATAATCTATTAAGTTTATTAAAATTAATACAATTATATTTGTATGAACGGCGTTAAATATTAACACCGCGGATGCCTGTACTATATACTAATGATAATCGTGCCATTTATTTTGAAATATTACCAAATATTATTAATTAGTGTACGCAATATAGAATATTATATACAAAATACGTTATAATTATTTAATATGTACCAAAGTATTAACATCAACATATTCGTTAAGATAAAATTGAGTTAATAATACCATTTCACGCATAAAATAATATACATATTTTCACGTTACATCGTATTGTAATTGATTATAGAAAATTTATTGAAGTGTAAAAAAACTCGGAGAGGATATTGTAATTTTACTGTATTCGATTTGAATACAATGATTGAATTTGATAGAAAACGATTCTCAGCGGACAAGGGAATCTTTTTTATTGAATATTATTCGTTTCTATGGTGATAAATAAAACGTTTTAAGAACAGCTTAAGAACGATTTATATAAATAGGTAATTTATATAATTATAATTATAATTTATAATTAGGAAATAACATAAAAATGAAAAAAAATATAAAATAAAAGAAAAAGCTCAAAAGTCGCTCAAATGTTTTGAAAATTTAACTATGTCTAGGTAAGAATAATATAATAACCTAAATTTCAAGTTTTTACGAATGTTTTTAACCGAATTACAATAAAAAAAACTCCCAAAATTAAAATGTCTATAAATAGCTCAAAAATGGTTACAATTTTCCAAACTTTAAACCATAAGGAACAAAATCCAAAATACAAATAAAAACCTTTCTGGTAAAAAACGTCCTCCGTAAATATTTAATATTATAAAATCGTGAAATCGTACGTTTTTCTCTTTTAACCGTTTTTATTTCGAGTACCGTTTCGAAAATCGAAAAATGACCTCTTTAAAGTACCAGATCAAGAACATTACCCTTCAGAAAAGATGCTACACTTGATACTTTTGATCAAGTTTAGAGGGAGAAAAAGTGTTTACAGAATAAAAAAGAAAACGAAATAAACATCATTGTAAAACCATTACATTCCTCGCTCTGCTCAGAATCTAAAATTTGTATGGGCTTATAAGTACTTGAATAATGTTTTGAAATAGTACTTTGTAATATCTAAGTATATTTTTGAAAATCTATAGACACGTTTTAGGATGTATGAAATCACAGTAAATATAGCACGCGTTTGTGTTAAATAATTAAGTAAATTACTTATGTATGACACGATGAGATTTAAATTTATTTTCATTGCATAAAATTGTCTTGCGATTGGACGGAAAATAAAATCACTTACTTGAGCTAAGGATGATCTGAATAAGTTGTACTCGGTTCCGGCATTTTCCGCGTCTATTTTTGACGATTTAATTTCCGCCATCGTCGAGACGATAAAATAATTATAACAATAATTCAATTATTCGTGGCTATAATTAGTTATTAACGATAGGACACAAATTCACACGCACATGCACAACATTTACTGCAATATATTCATTACTTGCGCCTGTACCTGTGTAGTACGCCTAGTGAGAAATCGTAACTTACTGTGTGTTTTGACTCCGCACTCAGGACGGTCAAGGCGTTTCGGGTGATAGTCAAGGACTGCTGTCGCGGGATATTCGGTATCCGCTTGAAAACATTCCCTATCCAATAGGAAAAAAAAAAAAGAGTAAACCGCAATCCTTTCGTCGTATGCATTATATTAATCGGAACCAAGAAATCTATTATTACAACGTGTGTTGTAACTTTTACTTCCAACGTCCTTAAAATTATTTCCGGATCCATCGATGTACACTCGTACGTAATTTCAGCATCTTTACTACGACGCGTCATGTCGTTCATGTTCTTTACATTTGTTTTATGAACGTTTACCCAATAAGATCGTCTCCTATTGTGGGTAATATATAATGGTTTATACTTGATTGTGTTTATAAATAATGGGTGTTAGCCAAGGTATATATTATGTTCTGTTCTACTAGATACTAGTATATAATATAATTTTTTTGCATCATACTTCACTTAAAATAAGTGGATTTCGTTGAACTAAAAGAAGTTATTATTATTGTAACATGAAAAAGTTAAAAATTGCATTTGATCAAACGTAATTTGTTAAATAAATAAATTATAGTAAAACAATGTAGTATAAATATAACAATTAATATAATAGATATAATATATTAATATTTTTAATAATATAAAAATATATTATATTTATTACAATCGTTAATTAAAATGTAGCTTTCAGTTTTAAATTTCGCAACAAATATGATTTTTACATCCAAGCATACTCCTATCATTTTGTTCGGTTAGGTTAGGTTAATAATGTGATGTTAGTGATCTAATTATTTTTAATTTTATTTTCATACTCATCTAGTGTCGAAATTAAGGGTCCCAGGGTCCCAAGATAGCTATTAGTTAAAAAGTAGGGATTTTTAAAATATATTAATAAAAACTGTTTTTAATTTTTATACCAATCTATTCAACATATTTTAATAAGAAATTGTTATACATAGGTATATCATTCATTATTCTTATAATGAAAATATAAATTATGTTTACATATTAATATTTTTTTGTACATTACATGGGGCTCGGGCCCGGGAAGTTAAAGTCTCCTAGGCAGCTGCTCAGTTTGCCTAGACGGAAGTTCAGCGCTGTACTCACTACTCCAGCATTATTCAACGAAATAATTTTATTGGTTAAAAGACAACAGCCCATATGTAATTTAACATTTAATTCAATTTTTTTGTGATACTGAATAATTGACGCATTTGAATTGCGTTTAAAAATTATATATTTGGTTCGTGTTGCGTTCGTGGATTCCCAACAACAGATTCGAATCGCATTGATAATTACATATTTTTCTTCTCACTTTTACGGAATAAGGACTAGCATTTATATAATGTATGATATAATCAAAATTATTAACATTACTTTAAATTATTTATCAGGCTAATAGTATGGTTTATATTTATATGGATATATAAGAAAATAGTATTATTATATGGATATTATTTACCGATTTTTTTAATATTTATTTTAATTTTAAATACTTCTTTGAACATAAACTCTTCAAAAATTGTTAAAAAGAAAATTTTTACCCATTTATAGTTTTTAAAAATGTATTTTTTTACCAAACACTTTAATAATTTCAAAATTTTCCATTATCAAATGATTTTTGTCGTAGTATTGAAGTAACTGATGTTAACATGTATTATATCTACTTACAGATTAGGTATCGATGAACTTAGAGTCTTATAGACTTCCCATATTTTTTGTGAACCTAAAACCCTCTCCGTCAAATCAAAAAATTTACAAAGTCGATTCAATATGTTATACCAAAATTAAAGTCGAAGCGCCGAAAAAAACCCAGTTCAATGTTTAAAATGTCAAAACAAGCCATACCAGAACTTACTGTCACCCAGATGTGTAAAATGTGGTAATACCCACCTCTCAAACGAATGTCAAAAATACGTAAATTCCCCAGCAACATGTGTTCTTTGCAATGGGGCCCATCCACCATCTTACAAAGAATGTTCTAAATTTAAAAACATTCAAAAAGTTCGAATACTAATAAAACCCGACAGGCCAACTGCTACTAACCTTCCATACAGACCTTAAAATAAAATATGTAAAACAAGTCACTAAAACTGCATAACGTTAACTCTATCAAAAATTTAGCTCTCACACTAACCCCAACATAAGTCATCTTGCTTCACTCTATATCCCTGACAATCCCAATAGAAGACTGAAACGTAAGTGGTGTAAAGACCTTCTTTATTAAAACTATTCCTCTCTAGTATTCAAAGTAGGTAGCTCCTACATCGTGTCAATTGTCATGTTAAAAAAAAATCTTTTATTCATTATTACTTTTTGTGCTTAATTGTGTAGAGTAACTATACAATTATTGTATAATTCATTGTTAAATAAAAAAAAAAAAAATATATAAAAAAAAAATTGTTATTTAAAATTTCTACATTGTAGTTTGAAAATAGAATATTACATAATATATATTAAAAAAGAACAGATCTTTTAAAAAAGGGTAATAGTAATTTAATAATAACATTTATTTCTTATATCAATATTTAATTACAATTTTATTTATTTACATTTATATACATAATAGTTAAAAAAAAATTACAAATCAGTACAATCAAAAACGCAAAAGTAGTTTATTAATTTTTATCAGTTAACATAATTTTTTGGATATAAAAGTAAATTTTAACTTAATAATAAGTTAAAAGGGTCGTACATATTGTAAAAAAAAAAATAGTGTTCAATTTAAGTACATTATATTTAAAAGAATTTTATTTAAAAAACTCAGATATTTCTTGCAATGTTTTGTTTTCGGTTTCAGGTAAATAAAAATAAAAATACGCACACCCGATCAAACCCGAAATCCCAAATATAGTAAATGTATTGTATAAGTTTACTAAGGCAACGAAAGTTAGATAATTTTTGGTCATGAAAAAACTGAGTATAAAAGACAGCGTCGAACACATGCTACAAGTAATGTTTCTACTCCTGAAATCAGAATATAAGTACAATAATATAAGTAATTTGCTATTGCATATAGTTGTAGAAACTTTTTAATTTAAGATTATCAAATATAAATACAAGTATAGGTACATACAATTAATAATTACAATTTTTCTATTAATAAATGGTTATAAGGCTGCAAAATTAAGTTTCGTTATAGTCTCAACTCTTAAAATATTTTAACTATTACCTGGATACAAAAAAATTGGAGTTAAAATGTTGTATGATAATTTTAGTGATTTAGGTACATATGTTTCATAATTTACTTATAAAATAGCAATAAATTATTGTTTAAATATTTAAAATATCTAACTGTGAAACGTACTGTTTATTTACATGAAAAATGTTATCAATCGTTTATTTGCTTTCGCTATAAAACTATAGTTTAATAGCATCGTTTTTTTCACATAATATAATTTATAATTATTTACTACTATTTTGATCAGAAAGGAAATCGCTATATATATTTTTTCGAAGTAATATATGTACCATATACTTACGAGTAGGTAATCAATAACTTTTATTTAGTTTTACATGTATGCTATCAGAACACCGTTTCTGTATGTTTTACTGGTAGACTGCGATGTGAGTATAGCAGCAGGTATATCTGAAACGGATTAACCGTACTTACTTCATAGGGAATATTTCCGACAACAGTATCCATCCGATAGGCATTATCCCCAGCGACGCTACGAACGTGCTGACGAGATAGAGTATTAGTATCAGCCTTGAGGTTAGCAGTTTTGAATCCGTCCAATATACGCCAATCAGCCCGATGGATATGTAACATAGGGAGGTGATTAACAGCGTGGACAACGTGAGGAACCGTTTTCCAAGTTTGTTCACCGAAAATACTGTCAGCACACCGCCAACCATGGCTATGCATTGCGATAATACCTAAACGAAATCGGGAGACGATTAGCACATACTAGCCATTGGTTGAATATAATTATTGTATCTAATCAATAAACAGAGTGTCCCCGCGAAGATGTACCCATTTGAAGTGGGCCATTTCGATATCTTTCGAGACAATTCGAGATAGTGAAATCCGGTTTTTTACACGACTCGCGTCAAGGGTATGGACTACGAATATTCTGACATTTTTATGTTTTGAAACAATTTTTGGTATATTATTTTTGAAAAAATTGGTGTTATAAAGTTTTTGGAAATGTTGACGCTTCAACTTTTTATTTACCATTAATTTCTTTATTTTTTAATATTATTTTATTCAGTTATCAGAAAACCCGTGTTCAATGTAGATACTACTCAGGAGATGTCGCAAAGGGTGCAATATTTTCGTTGAACATCTTGTATGGTATAATAGTGACGACGATACAATTCGCACAACAATACAAAACGATAATATTATTTTAACACGTGTCGTGTATTTAATTTCCTCCCTCCCCTTTTATTTTTCTACATTTTATAAACTATTAGTTTTTACGTATAGGTGCGTTTGTATTATACCTCTTATGTCGTTGTTTCTCGCTCGTCTTTTAAGTTATTATTACAATATTATTATAATTGTGCGTGATGACTTTTGAATGGTTTATTACGGACGTACACACGGTATAAGTACGATCATAATTTATTATTTACTTACTATGATGGACGAAACGTCGACATCCACGCCGAACTCGGTGAACACGTATACCAAGTACGGGCTCAACGGCACGCCGGACAACAAGTTGGAGAAAAAGAAGTACATCATCAGCAACCAGAAAGGTTTGAGCACGTCGGGCTCGAGCAATTGTTTCCAACGGTCCAAGAAGTCGTCTTCGACGTTTTGATCGCCTGCAAAGAACCACCCCGGGTACAATAACAACGACATTAATTGAAGTAAAAAATATTATTAAATCGTATAAATAGTATATGAGTGGTTTTATTTTTTATACCTGATGAGGGATTTTTTAACCTGAAATAGGTCGTAAATATTTACGACAATTATTCAATATTAATACTACATGGTTATTCAAAATGATTCATCCGGCTTCAAACAGCTATGAAATGGTGATTATAAATTGTATCTTATCAAATTATATACCAATTAATAGAGGGTATACCCAAGTTTTAGAATGTCATAATTGTTTGTTTTACAATTATTGCTTTTAAGCGATAAGTTATTTTGTGCAAATATGTCGACCAAACAGCAGAAAACGTTTTGTGTGTTGCGATTTTCAAAATGTGAATCGGTAATAACCGTGTAACACGATTTCCGCTGTCGTTACAGGATCGATGTACCGACTTCTCAGGCATACGTCGATGGTATAAGCAATTTGAAGAAACAGGGTGTTTGGGCAAAAAAAAAAGCAAGGGCCGACTTCGTGTATCCATGTATCTTTTGGAATCAATTACAAAAGATATGCTATAAGAAGTATGGAATGAGATTGACTATCGACTAGATGTTGTTCGTGTGACCAGAGGAACTTATATAGAACATTTATAGGTAAATTTAAGCTTGACATATTTTTCTTTTATTTAATGTATAACATATTGTTCTAAGACTAAAAAATAAGATTATCAAAGCATTAGAAATCAGATGAATCGTTTTGAATAAACCTGTATATTAATATTACAATATTACAACATCACAATATTAAGAATATTTATATTATACCTTATTTATATTGACATAAGAAATGTTTAATGATAAATAATTTTTATATATTCAACGGAATTTTCTAATTGTTTATATATTTATCCTCAAAAAATATTATTTTTGTATTTTAAATAATAAATTATTGCACGTAGCTTTTACCACTTACCGCTAGACGTGTTTTTATTCTCTGTCGTATATAAAACCATCTCGTGGAATTCGTTCGAACACTTTTCGTGCGACACCCAACCCCTCAGCTTGCTCAGCACTCTCTGTGCTTTTTCGACCTTGCCCTTGTGTAACAACCATATTGGAGAGTCCGGGCACTAAACAGTAATATACTAACATATTAATACCGACCCAATGCGAGCGATACGTCATGGATATACGTATCGGTGCACGCAGTGTCATGATAATAATGGTGATAGTAGGTAAGAACGTAGAGCGGTTTTAAAATATCTCAAAGAACTAAAAAAAAAAAATCGACCAATTCGATGCAGAAAAAATAATAAACGTAACATGATTATAATATTCAAGGCTGGGCAAGTAATCTAATTTTTATAACTCCTTTAATGAATTTAGCTTACAAGAGAAATGTGAGTAATGTTTCATTTGTTTAATGTGTCTTCTCCTTTTTTATTTTGTGACTTTTACAAGTTAAAAATTCTACATTTGTAATTCCGATTATTTTTGTTAAAAAAAATATTTTTACAGAAAATATGTTATTGTATTTTTAATTTCTGTAAACTAACCGATTAATAGAAATAATATAACTGGTTAAAAGTTACTTTAAACAAAAATGAGCACGTTAATTATCAACTTAACATAGATAATTTAGCTATTTAACGAACATCCTTGAAATATATATTATAGTTTGTTTTCACGGCAATATATTTCACTCGTTTGTACGGAATCGTACGCGAAACAAGTTCATCTATTTCTCTCTCTCTCTCTCTCTCCGGATGCAAATCGAAAGCACGCCGCGTACACATGCCTGCGTACACCACGCAGATGTATCCTTATAGTTTTACCAAGATCAAAATAATGACGGTTATGACCGGGATCGCCATGTTGATGAGTAAGGTCAGTCTCCACTGGCGGGTGATCGCGTACACCCCAGTGACCATGAACGATCCGCCGAAGTAGAACACGTTGGTCGCAGACATCAGGGCCCCTCTGAGCTTCGGCTCGCACACCTCACCGATGTAGGCGGAAAACGGGCCGCCCGAGAACCCTATGCTCAGCCCCATAAGGATTGACGACGCGTACATGGTCGCCACATTTTCGGCGTAGTACATCATCGCGAACGCCATCGTGTAGGGTATGTTCGTTATGATCATGCAGTTCTTGTGGCCGAGTCGCGTCAGCACCAGCGAGGACACGAAGCTCCCTAGAGGTGTGCACAGGTACATGAGACTACCTGGATAGGGGCAAACAGGAGATGCGATCAAACGTATTGTCTATCATTAGGTATATCAAGTTTTTGCGGTCGATAGTATTTGTCACCGTCCTGTCCACGAAACACATAGTCTGTTGCACCGTTGATCAGTGGCGGCTTGAGTAACTGAAACTCCAGGAGTAAGCTTCATAAAACCACCCACCCATCCATTGTAATTTGTAATGTTTAGCATATCTAGACCCCATGATAGATACATACCCACCCCTCTTTGGACCAAGAGCGGTTGCTCCTGATAGTCTTATAACAAGCCGCCCCTGACGTTGATAATTTATTTATAAATGTATATACTGTGCGTAGAAAAATATTAATACGATATTAAATCAATTGATTTTTATTTTAAAATCACACATTTACACAATACTTTGACACCCAGGTCTGTGATATTGGTTAACACCAGCGGAAATACGTTCCTGGATGCAATGAACAAACGTTTTTGTTAAATCACATTCATACACAAATACTAGGGGGCAGTGACGGCGCGAAATATTTTACTTCATGAGTCCTGTTAGGATTATGCCCACCCACCCACCTACCTAAAAATAAATTTTAGGGTTAGCTTGTAAAAAGAGCTCCCCCACTATTCATTCTACGTGCTACATATCTGTTCGATACCCAATGGTCAATACCCACCCACCCACCCACCCACTGACTTGAGTCCAGGGACTCAAAAATCTGCCGTCACGTCGCCACTGCTGGGGGGAACAGTTTCTATGAACACGGATAAACGGAGTAATTATACGAAAAAAAAATCTTCATACTGCAGCTATTATATTGGCTTCCAAACGATTAGCAAACGATTTATAAATGTACTTAGGTTATACGTATATTTGAATATCGGTCACGAATACGTTATAAATACAAGTATATTGTACTCGAATTGAATTCGACATAGGAATTTCAAATTATTATTATTATGCTTTCTTTTTGTCCGTTATTATTATTATTATTTAGGTGTTAGGTACAGTTAACAATAAATTGTTATATTTTATTAAACATTTTATTTTGTCATTATAAAATATGTTTATATTAGAAATGAGTAGTCTAAAACAAAAGTTTAGCTTTATCAGTATGTTAATAACATATTTATGTTTACGAGTATTTTAAGTAACATATAAAAAATGTTCGTTAAAAAATGTTCTCTTTAAATCTATCATGTTTTTTATTGCATAGTAAATATATTATTATTTTCAGAATAAGTAAGATGCCGTCTTACTGGAAGCCATATTGAAAATTAATGTTCCAACCTTAAATTCTAGAAATTATGATCTATTTTATTTAAGTCATCTCACTCAAAACTACAGTTATTATGGACCTATCAATAGAATGTTAATGAATTGTAAAGTGAAAAATTTTGATTTTTTCTTTGATAATATGTATAAATTAAAAAAATTACTATTGTTATAATTAGTGGATTGTAAACTTTAACATTTGTAAACTTGGTACTTGTAAAACTCTGTACTATTGCCTTCGGGGCGTTAAAATATAAATATAATATAATATAAAATATCATCAAATAAAATTTAGTCATAATATTTTGTGGAATGTCCACCTGTATAATCGTATATTTCATAGCCAAACCGATAACATTTTTATCACATTTAACGATGAATCAAGTATTTTGTTAATTTGATAGTAATTTTTTAAATTTTAGTAATAATCCGAGCCAATTCAGTAGTTTCCGTGGGTTTAACCGATGACATTTATCGTTATTGATATTTATACATTTAAAAAATGTACTGACCGAACCAAGAAGCCTCATTGTTTGTCATAGTTAATTCATCGTTTAGAATAGTCACAGCCGTTTTTTCCGGCAACGCTCCTATAATGATTGTTGAACACATCAATTGTGTGCCCACTCCGACTTGTATGAAACCAGCTCCCATTAACGCCAAACACTGCAACACAAATGGGTTCTAAATGAATTGTATTGATACATTAATACCTATGTAGATTTAGTCAATATCACTTAAGTTTTTTATGGATTGTAACAGGTAATTAAACCTTTGTTATGATTTTTAGTAGGCAGTTTGTACTATTTTCGATTAAAGTTGTTAAATGGGTATGATTAAATAAATAGTAAATCGTACTTATTGATTCATATTTCATGGAAATAAAAAATAACTTACTTGAGAAAAAGTGGATTTCATTCCATATCTATATTTATCACTAGACTCCATTATTTAAGCTTAAATATTTTTAGTTCCTGTGAATTAAATAATCAAAAATGCGATTAATTAATGTGTTATTCCTTCTTCTAATCCTTAAATTTTAAGTATAGCGAAATACTTTTTAAAGTATAGTCTAACCTAAGTATTAATCTCGTTTATTTTCTTAACTAATTGAAAACTTAACAATAATCTTAAGTGTCACATAGATGATGTTTCTTGAACTGCCTTAAGTTACAAAAATTTGTATTAAAATAAGTCATTATTAGTGCATGCATAATAAATATTATTTTATAAGAAAAAAAATCAAAACATATAGTTTGGTTGTGTCACATGGTCATAAAATATGAAATGTTTAGTCATTGAATTGTGAATAGTAGCATAATACATTTTTATATAATGATTTTGATAATTTTAATATATTATTATGATTTTGTCTTATGTTTTTTGGGATTTCAGTTTTAATTTTTATATTTAATGCTAAGAGAATGTAATAAACAAAAGTTAAGAACACTTTTATACATTAATTTATTTGTTATGTATACATCCATTTTGATTTAAAAAGACTTCCAATTAATTCTCATAATTTTTAATTTCGTTGTATTTTTTTGTATTGCTATACATTTTATCAATTTAATAACTTTGTTTAAAAATATTTCTTTTTTTTTTTTAATGTTTTTAAATATGTTAAATAATTGTTGGGTCAGATATAAAACGTTAAATTAATTATTTAGCTTTATCACGGTATTTTTTAACTTTCTTTTTTTTAATTTTTTTTTTAAATTCGTAAATGTAATCCAATCTCATCCATACGCTATTTCATCATATTTTATATAATGTATTATGTCAATAAAGTCTATTGAAACTATATAAAAATGTAAATATTTAACTATATATAAACTATATTCACAGTAAGTCTTAAATAATTCAAAAGTCTTAATTTGTAATTTTTATTTTTCATTTAAAAATCAGGACTTTTTTAATATTTAAATTGAAAATGAACCTACTAGTTTGTATTATATACAATTATTGTATTGTTTGAATTAAAATATGATACATGACTACATTATATAATTATTATTTAATGATGTATAAATTCATATCATTATTGAAGTTTAAAATAACTAAACTATTTAATCTATATCTAGTTATATTTCAGAAGTGTTTTTAAAATCTTTTTAATTAATTGAGAACAATTTTTCATTACTTACCGCGATTATACGAGAAAAAAATCTGGCGAAAATTGAATCATAGTTGGACGTTTTTTCATTATTTTCAATCTGCCATTTCCATATCTTAATTTCTCCGACTGTTGTAGCGCTACTACAGTGTAGTTCTCCTATTTGGTCGATACAAGTATTCTAGTTGGATAACTATTTTTTAGTAAAATCATAAAAAAAAAAAATTATATAAAATACACAATAATGCGATATTTAACTTAAAAATGAAACCTAACTAAAAGAGTCTAAATCTCTAAAACTTTTATCGGTCCTGCACTAATTTTGTTCCATACTAAATATGTTATAACTATTATAAGCCAGGAACCGACTAATTTCGGTTCATATGCTTACCACGTTGAAATCACATGCTGTTTAACACAATGTTTAACAATCTATTCTGTTATCAACATTATGCAAAGGCATCTCGTTTAAATATAAAAGTTTCTATTCCAGTTCGTATAAAATCGATGCGCTACATATATATATATATATACTGTATTCATACTTGTAAATTATAATATGTATGCGAGGTGTATAATTTCATTACTAAATCGGATATTCCGAGAGTTTGACTGGAATATTGGGTTCATAGTCACATAAGTTGTATAGTTTTTCAATATATAAACATATTAGTGCATGGACATATGAACTATGACCATAGTGTGCAATGAGTTCTTATCATTTTAATTTTGAAACTGCAGACTAAAAATAATATTTTCTAAGAATTAAAATGTAATGAAAAGAGGATATAAAAATTTATATTATTTATTTTATATCCTCGTTGAAATAATTTTTACTTTTGTTTAAATCGCGTTACATAAAATAAAATAAAGATTGAAGTAATTACTGTATATTACAGATTAACGTTTAATTAATATTTTTACTATAGAATATTCATACGTTCTATATTGAAAATTGATGGTGAAAATATGTTAAATATTTGTGATATAAATACATACATGATCATTATATATGTACATTGTAACTTCCATTACATTAATTAGGTATACTTGATTTTTTGATGCGAATATGGATATGGTTAACTTTACGCAAGTCAAATTTAGGCATGCAAATAATTTTTTAATTTACTAAGATCAAATAAGCAAATGCGTATTGTTATGCAATTATTTCAGACATTACCACAGTATATAAAATGCATTCGTAAATTAATATTACGTTTGATGATTTAAATTTGACGAAAAAAAAAAATTTTTTTAATTTAAATAATTTTTTTTTTATTTGATAATAATAATAATAAATAATTGTTTTACAAGAGTCTAGATTTATTTTCGTTTGGTGTTGATAATATCATAAAGAAAAGAAAAATTATAAATTTATAAAATATTCAACTATAAACCAATTTCTAATGAAATTAAAAAATTAGTAAATTAATAACAGAATACTGCTGAAATAGACTTGATCAGTGTTTATTTCAGACCGTCTATCCTGAAGGAGGTATCGAAAATTGTCGTGGGAGGGGGGAATGTGGTATGTCATAGGAATAAATAATTAATAATTTGATAAACTTTTCGGGGTGGTATACATTTCCACCCCCCCCCCTGAAATAAACGTTGGACATGAAGTTCATGATATTCTGTGGTGGTTAATATAATATTTAAACTAGTATATGCCAAAGTAAACTCTTATATAGTTAGTATAGTTCGATATTACTGCATAAAATATTATAAATATACATTTTATTATTATAATCTAAGAATAATTAATATAATTATTGTAAATCAAATTAAAAAAAAAAAAAAATGTATTCTGTTTCATGAAACCAAATAAAATATTTGACAAAATTAATTCTTCGAAGGACTTACCGAATTTCCGTTCAACTGCTTCAGTAATCTTCATAAATATGCAAAAGTTTATGTATATTAATCAACCTCTTCTGTTTTTGTAGTGCGTACCTTTACATAATTTCGCAATCAATCATTTTTTCTGTGGAATTCTGTTTAATCTTATCGTATTATAATATAATTACATACATAACTAGGTGCAGGCACCATTGATAAAATGATGAATAATTAATGAATGATGATAGTATATGTAATACATGTTTTTATTGTTTCATTCTTATACTTTTAAATGCTCACAATATGCCTATACAATACAATTTAATTAAAATAATTTAGGAACAAACGCATAAGACTATTCTAATCAAATATTGAAAGAATATCCTTTTGAGTTGATCCAAAGTAATTAAAAACTATTATTGTAAGAATTTTAAAATCATCGCAGAGTTATTTAGGTCCTGAAAAGGTATATAATTTAGATTTTAATAAAATAAATGAACTATTACCATATAACTCGAATTTCTTTTTCTCCTACGTTTTTTAACTTTGTGAGAATGTATAGGAACATGATGATAAAACATTTTTTTTTCATTTAATTTTTTTTGTTAAATGTTTATCAAAAACACAAACATATCTTTATATATAATGATTAATAATATCTACTGATATGTATTTCTCAACAGAATAAAATGTCAACAGTAATTGAAACATTATTAATATAGGTGTGCGCACGGGGCGGCTTGGTCGGAATTTTTTGGGGGCATAGTAAAATTTAAACTAACCATAGTAAAATGTCTATATATATTTTAATATTTTCGAGGAAATCAATTAATTGTATTTATATCATTTGATTTTAAAAAATTCAAAGTTTTACTTTTAACCAAAAATATGTCTAAAAATTAGCAATATAATACTTGATTCTATCTATAGATATAAATACTACATTGTTTTTAATTTACAACAGAATCTACTATGTTGAAGTGTTAGAAAAAAAATAGGGTTACTGTCTAAGTATTGGGGCACTAATTTTATTTAGGCTCGGCCGGAAGTTGAAGTCTGCGCACGCCTATGATTATTAAAAACTAAAAAAAAAAAATAACGATTTAAATTAAAAAAAAAAAAACTTTCAATCAGTTTCAGGATAAATTGAAATCAATAAATAATTGCTTTTCCAATGCAGTGTAAGTATTCTTGTTTCTAACTAAATGTACAATAAGTATGATTACTTAACTCATAATGCACAATTTGTTATACTCTGCAACTCGGAGAGAGATCGAAGAAAAATTATTGTCTTACATTTGGTTACTGTAATATATATAAATATTTTTATGCCGACGGTGAACAAACTTGTTGTGGACCAATGATAATGTGTTATAGTTATTATTTTTAACATCAGTGTGTATTATCCATTTCAAGAAACGAGATCATAACCAAAACTACATAGACTTGTAGAAATGTCGGCGATACATTTGAGAATCAGTTAATGATTGTTTAAATTAAGATAATCTTAGACGGTAAAATTATTGAAATATAGTGATTGTGTTTACAACATAAAATATTATAAATTCAAATGAATCACATCAAAATATTTATGTACTACGTTGTTAGCTTACGCACACAATTTGCAGTATTCTACGCGTTTGTAATATATGTAATGTAATACATAAACTAAATTGGACAATAGATATCGTTCTGACGCATCTAGATTTGCGTCAGAATTAAGGCATTATTATAATTCGATTTATAGATTATAAAGTAGAGATGGGCAAAAAGTTTGAGACATCGATGTTGGTGATCGATATATTCGACAAAAAAAAATCGATGTTTACCTTAATAAGTTTTAAGAAAAATTGTATCTATGTTAAATGTATGTATTTTATGTATAAATTGTAAAATGTTTAAATAAATACGTTATTTAAATATCGGACTTCGGATTAGAAAAAAATCGATTTTTTTTCAATACATCGCAATAAAAACATCGATGTAGAGTTTCGATATATCGAATGAAAATATCGATGTTTTTAAAAAATCGATGCATTTTGCCCATCTCTATTATATAGGTAAATTATATTTTGTATTACAATTAGAATAACATTTTATGTGATCGTGTCACAACGCGTGTAACTATTTACAATTCTTATTTAACACAGTTTTGAAGTATCTTAATAATTATATTTTTTAATTTCCTAAGATATTTAACGAGGGTTTTGTAATTGGAACGTTTACAAACACATTAAAAGCAATTACGTTTACTATGTGTGTTTTCTCAACCTAAGAATTATCAATTCGATTGATTGTCTGGATGAATAAAAATGATACAAAACAATACAAACTCAATAAAAACATGTTTATTACTTTAGGATATATTACATTAAGTAAAACCTTACATACGTAGATACTCGTACAATTTTATATTACATAAGTTATACATAAATTAAAGAATTTTAAAATAAAGTAAATTTATATCTCAAATTAAAATTGATCAAGATTAAAATTTAAAAAACTCATACTTGTATAGTGTTTATTTTCGTGAGTGATAACGTATATTTTAGGAAGTAATTCTAATTACATTTATTAGGTTTATTAAACAAAACGTTACATAAATCTTTACTATAAAAATTATTTTTAATTAATTAATATTCATGATTAATTTAAAATAAAATTAAACACACAAATAGATTACTATTTATATTTATTTTAACTTATCAAGCTTTACAATATTATCGTTAAATGTTCTCCCACAAGGTTAACACGCAAGACCAATATAAAGGATTCACTAAGTAGTTAACTGATGATTCACCCAAAAAACTTTAAGTATGATGTTAAACATACGTACTAAATTTAGTTGTATCGGATGAAACTTAAAAAACAAATGAATTTATTTCATTTTTTAGTTTTCTTAGCAAGTTGCGGGATTTTTTCGAATTATTTACCAATTTATTTATGAATTAATTTTCGGAAAAATAGGACAGAAGGTAAAAATATTAGTTTTATAAATACGTTAGGTGAGACTAGATGGTGGCCTCACTTTCAAAAACATTACTTGAAGAATATAATTGTATGGCATTGGATCTAGAAAAGAAAGAGGAAGAAGAGGAATCTGAGTTGGCCAAAAAACACCTTGTACATAAAAAGACGTGTAAAAATTATAAATATTTTGCTGTTATCAAATTTTATGTAAGTACGAGTATAATTTGTATGCAATAGTATATACAGAATTGATTATAGCATACAATTTTTTGTTAACGTTATCCATAATTCAAGTTCAATGTGAAAGAACATTTTCGAAATTAAAATATATTTTGAACAGATTAATAAGTAATTTAAGTCAAGAACGAGTGGAAGAATTTATTATAATATTGTGTGAAAAAGATGTATTATATTCTTTGCAAAATGTAGATATAATTGATTATGTCGCGCAAAGTAGTAACTTAATGAAAACATTATCAATTAGATAAATAAATTAATAATTAATATATTTTAATACATAATTATGCCTTTAGGTACTTTTTAAGTAACTATGTTTTTTTTTTGTTTACAATTAGTAGTTAGTAAATAGTTACAATAAGTATTGCCATTATTATTATTATATTTAAAAATAGTGTATAATTTAAGTATTGTATTTTAAAATAGAAAATACCTTAATATAAGTACTATTATAATACACGATTTTTATTTAATAATTATTATAGAACTATATGTCCATATCTATGAATAATAATTAGAAAACATTTAAGATATTATTTTAAATAAAGGGTTGAGAATTCTATATCGTTTCACTAAGCTTTTAAGTTTTAATTAATCAATTTATGTTCAAATTAGGAATAAAAATGGAGATTTGGTGTCCTCCAGACGTGTGTGAAGTTAGCCCCCTCACTATAAAAAATACTTTCCAAAATAATTGTAACCTTATTTTCTTAATTTGTAACTATTTGTAACCAAATTTTTAGAATTTGTAACCTCATCAATTTTAAGTACCGATGGATTTCCCAAAGAAGATAACTGAATA